AACGGAAATACCAAAATCACGATCTGCGCTTGCTAAATGTCGTTTTTTACGTTTTTTACGTGGAGTAGCACATAATCTTGAATATTAAATGGCTGTTTGTGTATTAAGAGCGCAAAATGAAACAATGCCGCTTTGAGCGAGAAGTTTGACGCGTGACACTTTGCAGTCGAATTACACACATGATTTTTTTATACAACCGGTGTTAAAAATTAATAATTATTAATAACCTCAAATTTGACGTTTATGTCAAAAGTCACAAATACACTAAACCTTTCTTTATTATGGTTTCCATGGTAACTAAGAGAGCGACAAAGTAACTTTGTCGCTAGGCGTCGCCTAGTAGGCGAGCGACAAAGTAAAAAAACGATCGCTCCTCGGAAAGGTGAAAGTTTGCGCTTTCTTTTGGAAGCGCAAATCTGTACTTTTCGCTTTTTTGTAGAAAAAATATATTTTAATATATTATAATTGTTAATGTGAGTTCAAATAATAATATAGTTAAATATTTGCCTCTGTTGATTTGTCTATTTGGTAATATATAAATAAAAATATGTAAACATCCACACATATTTATATATTTTTATTTTATTGTGATATGTCATGTTATGTATACTAGGGTGTTTCATTTAAAACGAACATTTTTTTTCTCGCTGACACATGAAAATTTTGTTTTTTAGGTTGAAAAAAAAATTCCCTGAAAATTTGAGCCCTTAATTTTGATTCTAAGTACTTCCTTTTTAATTTTGTAGTTTTTCCATATAAAAAGCATGTATTTTTAATCATTTTTACTTTAAATTTCTATATTTTGGCCGGGTTTTGAATTATAATTTTTATCACCATAATTTTCTGCATAGTATTCACGGTTTTTGAAAGGCCCTGCATCAATTTTGTTTTTGATTTATTTACGTTGATTGTAGTAGCTCCAAAAGTCGTTTTTTCACTCTTTTCACATATTTTTGAGAAAATCGAGCGATTGACTGGTTTTACCGAAAAAGTTCAAATAAAAAAGTTGTGCTTTGTTTAAGAGATATAAGCAATATATAGTTGTTGAATCAAATTACATACATTTCAATAAAACCTATTTTTTCTTTGTTTTTGGTTATTGAATTGCTTATATTTCTTAAACAAAGCAGTTTAGTGATATGAACGTAAAAATCTTTTTTGTCAAAAATTAAATTTCCTACAACTTTTTCATTTGAACTTTTTTGGTAAAACCAGTCATTCGCTCGATTTTCTCAAAAATATGTGAGAAAAAGTGAAAAAACGACTTTTGGAGCTACTACAATCAACGTAAATAAATCAAAAACAAAATTGATGCAGGGCCTTCTATGCAGGAAATTATGGTGATAAAAATTATAATTCAAAACCCAGCCAAAATATAGAAATTTAAAGTAAAAATGATTAAAAATACATGCTTTGTATATGTAAAAACTACAAAATTAAAAAGGAAGTACTTAGAATAAAAGTTAAGGGCTCAAATTTTCAGGGAATTTTTTTTCAACCTAAAAAACAAAATTTTCATGTGTCAGCAAGAAAAAAAAAATTTCGTTTTAAATGAAACACCCTAGTGTATACACATATATGAGTGCGGATTGTGATATTAATGTTGCGGGAATATTTTGTCATGGAAGATTTATGGGATAGTTTTGTCAAGGGATATTTTTAGTTGGAATATTTTAGCATGGGATATTTTTGCTCGGGATATATTGTCTGGGATTTTATCACCGGGATCCTATAATTAGTATAAATATGGTAGATTAAGCATTTAGATTTAGTTACACTTCGCTTCTTAAGATGCCAACGTTGGCAAAAAGTACTTTAAGCACTTTTGTTTTGGTGTTTCTAATATTTGTTTAACATATCACCAAAGTTGTCCTTTTCAAGTAACGTTATTATCTATATAATTTCGTTTTAAAAAACACAATTGTATTGTTATTTATTATTATTTTTTATTTTAAATAATTAGAAAATCATTCTACCTTTTATGGTTTTCTTATTTTTGTTTTCTGCTCTTTCCTGCGACTTTCACTGCATTCAACATACTGCGTGTTTTTCTTGCTTTATTTTTGGTTCCCATACCGTTTCTAATCATTTTTTGTATAGTCCACTTCATTTGTTTCGCAGAAAATAATAATTTGTTTTCACAACTTATTTTAAGATTTTAAATTACACTGTATATAGAAATGTCACTGTAACTGTCAAAAGCAAAAAGCGTTGCCATAGAAACCAACTATAAAAAAATCGCAATGTTGTCGCGTTTAAATCCTATTTTTTACGTTTTTTAATTTAGGTTATTATGTGCATGTATATGTATATAGTGCCTTTTGTAATAAAACAAAAATTTATTAGTTATAAAATTGCCTGTTTTTTAAATGAAATGTAATGAAGTGAAATTTTGTTTTTGAAAGTTGATACCTATCGCTATTTATGCATTAAGTATAAGTATAAATGCAATTCCCTTTAGAGATGTGTCGGTCAGATCTGAACCGGCTCAGTGAACCGGGTCTTATAAGTGATCTACGTGAACCGGTTCACGAAAATTAAACGAACCGGCTCACGGGTCTGAAATTACAAAGCAGAGAACTGTGTTTGGCTAGCGGCCGCGCGCAAGCCGTTCTAAGCTCCGATTCACTGCTTCACCACAGTGGTGACAGTGTCACCGTGACACCACTCGCTATGCTGCTGCAGTGCATTGCACAGGTCGCGCATGGCGAAGTATATTATGTATCAAGTTTTATAAACGCCATTTTATTTGCGAGTTTTCTTAGGCACGATCGAAGCTTGCCAGCGAGTGTTTAATAAAAACGAGTGTCTAGAGCAGTTTATAAAACGAGTTGAATACTATACTATACTCGAGGAGATGCATTCCAAAACTCTGCTTATCCATATTAGTTGTTTTCGAGCAAAATGTCAAAAACCTTACACGTGAGTACTAACGCATATCAGGCCAACACAATACTTTAAACGAAATATATAGGCATAAGTTAAATATTCATATATCTTGATTAAAAAAGTAAAGCTCCAGTTTAAAATAATTTAAAATTACATACGTATATGCCGAGTTCTGCATGATAAAACCAATAGAAAAGGCAAGTTTTGGAACGATAGTCAATTTGTAAATGGATTTTAAATGGAATAAGGTTAGTTTTAGAATATTATGAAATTTTCAGGGTATAGGGGGATACATGTTAAATGTACAGACACCACTAACTCATTTTTATTAAAAAGTGGATAAGCCGAGCACTTTATATACGACGAATAGAAATAAGAGATTAAAGCCAATTTTAATTCATAAATATTTGACATCTGACGAATTTAACCTCACTTTTTATAATTTATAATAAAGCTTACTTTAGCCTGTGACTAAAACGCCATCAAGGCACACCTCGTCAATGTAGGAGTAGATAAAGATTTTTAATAAAAGCAAAAGAGGGTTAATAGAGGAAAAAAGGACAGAGAGGCGCTTGTCCAGGGTATGCATGTGGTGTCTTCCCCTCCGTCAATTTTGTAACGATGATAAAAATAGTGCATAATGCTTGAAGTTTTTACTTGTACAGTCTTCGGAATTTTATTTTAAGAACTTCGTAAATGCCTTGCCATGGAAAAAACAGTTAATTTAATATATAATACGATAATCGAAATTGTCGATGGCTAAGACAAAAGATCCATAACATTATGGAAGTTTCATAATCAGATTCTGTTATAAAATAATATGATAGTAGTTAATCATTTAAAAATGATTTAAGAAATTGAACTGTATCTATTTTTATACTATTAGCGTAAGTAACTATAAAAATTCTTATTGATTGTTATGGATTTATTAATTTAAATAATTTAATTAAAAGTATTTTAATTTTTAAAAATAATATAGGTAATATTACTCACTTGTGTTTCACATGAGCACATGTCATATAAACAATTCTGATAAAACTGTTCTGGGTCTACATAGACATGACAATCTAAAATTTTATTTATATTAGGTATTTATTAATTTTCATATTTTTCTTCGAAAAATTTACCGCCAAAAAGATTTGACTTTAATACAGAACAATGTTTTTCTGCATTATTTTTTCTCTGGGCATTTTTTTCACATGGATTTAAAAACAATTTTTCCGGAACATCGTTACATTTTTCTGAAGTTTTCCATTTATTAGCAAAAGCAATAACTGATTGTTCAATATCGTTTTCAGGTGTAAGGAAGTCATCCTTTTGGTTATTGCTAAAGTTTCCACATAGACCTTTGGTTTGACCCTGCAATGTTGGTGGCGCATCTATATAAACTCTGGTAACACCATCCCACCAAACTTCTACAGAATTTGGTAAAATAACTAAAATATTATTAAATTATTTAAATGTAAGTACCCTATGTTGGTTTAAAAATATAAAAATATATAATAAACCTTTTAAAAATATCGATGATACTGCTTTAATTTTTATATCCATAATGGAATATGGGATATTTAATACATCTTGACCATTTACCAAAATTTCGTGATTTTGCTTAAGTTTAATTTTTTGTCCATTATATTTTACTGTTACTGATTTTGTACAGGATGGAAGACCTTCACTTAAACTTAAAGGTATATTCATTGCCTAAAAATAATTAAACATACATTCCAAAAGAAGCACGAAACAATATAAATTTAATGTTTAAATTTCGAAATAAATTTCAACCTATTTGTTGAAGCTGTAAGCGGTAAGACCAAAGCAACATTATGAACTAAATTGTCATTCTACAATTGCCGTTTCTATTGATTATGATGTATGAGATCGCATGAACAAGCGACCCAAATGATTTTTGGAAAAATCACTTAAATACATTTATTAATTGTATTGCTTTTATAATAAAATCCATAGAGGATTTCTTGTAAAGAAATAATTTTACATTTAAATTTAATTTTTAGTACTTAGTTACTATAAGAAATATGTGCTAAAAGTATGAGCCTCCGAAACATTGGAGCATTTATAAATGTTACATTATTATTTTTTTAACGACAAATTAATCATGTTTTTACCAATGATATTGATCCAGCACAAGCTATATTTTCTGCTTCAATTGTAAAATTGTCATGTTTTACCAAATAATAATTACATTGCCCCATAAAATCATATGTTTTGCCATCAAAAGTTGTGTAATGTGGATCACCAATTGCGGAACAGCGAGCTCGACATTTAACCTATTAAAATGGTTATAATCATTATACTATAAATATTAATTTACGCATTTAATTTTTATACTAAAAACAAATATTTAAATAAGTATTAAAAATACCTCTGTACAAATCCAGGAGCCTTCACTACAAGTACAAGTATTGCAATCTTTTGGTATAGTGGAACCAGGTAGAAAATATTTGCCCCGGAATTTACAAGGACATTCTTCTTTAACAATACATTTATTTTCATGTAAAACGGTACCATTAGGGCAAAAGCAGCCTTCAATGCAATCAGTACCCTTATTTGTTGGTAACGTAACACCTCCACAAACAGGTTGGTCCTTTGAGGGACCACAAGAATAATAAACCTTTCCACCAGTGCATTTCATGGCTAATTAAATAAAACACAAAATTAGATATATTTTTGATTTTTAATTAAGTCTAATATGCTGTATACTATTATTCAAGTGCCCAAATAAATAGGGGATTTTAGAAGTTCAGAACTTCAAAGTTAAATAAAACACATACAGATTATGGATATGACCATGTTTTTGGCTTGATTAGAAAGATAATTTTATACCATTTGTGTTTAAATATGATTTATAGCATAATATGGCCGCATATTATGAACGCCGCGAGTGGATGGAATAAAGCACAATCTGGAAGTCCACTTCATGACCAATTTTTCGAGCAATTGAGACCGTATGTCAGCAAAAAGGCGGCCCAGGTTGGCATTTAAGTCACTTAATTAGGAGTCGCCAAGTTCTTGAAAATTTCAAGATCTTGTCTTGATTTCAAGACAAGATCACGACAAGAAGTAATTTTAGATTTCAAGACAGAACAAGAAATTTTATGTCAATACCAAGATGTCTTGTCAAGAAAACAAGAAATCTTAAAATATCTTGAGTAACAATGAAAACTCTAATACGTATTTATTTGTGAAAAAGATAACATATTTTAACATAACATAAGATATTTTAATTTATTGAACACATTTTTTTGCTAGAACGATTTACAAATATGTAAATTAAAAATAATAAATGATAATCCTTTTGAAACTAAAATTGCAAACTGGATTTTAAATATCAAATTTAATACATTTTTAAATCAGAATTCATAATCCATGAATTAAGGCACATAAGACTTCTTATGGAGTCAACGCCTAGATGATTTCTTGGTTAAAGCTGCTTGAAAATACCCTTTCCGAAGGTACAGATGTTACTGGCGTTCCGAGAAAATCCTTGGCCATTTTTTATTACGACGGGTAGGCATTTTCGTGTCTTCTCCACCAATAATAATAATAATAATAATAATATTCTTTCTTGTATATAAATAAATGTTACATACAAATGGAGGACGGTTAGGTTTCCCTTTCTTCCACCGTCTCCGAAATTTAATAGTATTATTTAACTATAGAATAAACATGTACATGTACATGTACATGTACGCTGCAGCTTAAGTTAAACAAAATTGAGTTTTTTAGAAAATTAAATATAAAGAGAAAGTACCTATACAATATCAAATATAAAGAAATTAAAGATATACGAGAATAAATTGTACCAAAAAAAGGAAAATTATTAAACAATTAGCATTTAAAATAAACAAGGACCTATTGTAGATTTAAATAAAAAGTTTTAGTAAAAATTAAAAAGCTCTTTTCACCCAATTTAATGTTCAAAAGAACCCTGTTCAATAGTTTTGACGCGACAAATACAAATGACCCCTCGAGTTTAATACAGTTAATACAGTGATTTGGAATATTAAAAGAGTTAGTTCTAGTATTTATCTCATGTATGTCAGATCGGCTTGTTAACAGACGGTATAAGTACAGATGATTTTTATTTTTTAACAATTTATAAAGAAATATTGTTGTTAAATAGCATATTCTGTTTTCGACCCTTAATTCGTTTAATTCTACTATATATGGGGAAATATGTTCTCTATATGAAATATTGCTAGCAAAACGAATGCAAGCATTTTGTATTCGCTGTAATCGTTGTCGGTTATATTGTGGTAAACAAAAATAGAATACTAAACAACAATAGTAAATATGTGGAAAAATTTGGGTTTTAATAAGTTGAAGTTTGGTGCTTTTGTCAAATATATACTTAAATTTATACAAGGTTTTTAATTTTACCATGCAGCATTTAAAAATATAATCTACATGAAAGGAAAATGATAGACAATCATCCATTATCACCCCCAGGTTTTTTGTCTTTTTCACCCAAGGAATATTTTCACCTCCTATTAACAAACCAAAATTTGCTTTAATAGACATATTTTGATGCTCTCTTCCTATACAAAGGGCCACCGTTTTGCTAGGGTTTAAACGCAGACCATGCATTTTTAAATATCTGGAAATATTTTCAATATCTTCATTGACTACATCAATAGCGTTCTGAATATTTGAGTTATCAAAGGAATAATATAATTGTACGTCATCTGCATACAAATGAATTGAGCAATTGGAAATGCAGTCCGTCATATCAAAAACATAAATCAAAAACAACAAGGGGTACAAAATACTACCTTGTGGAACACCGGGAGTTGTATTTTTTAAAGACGAGGAAGTTATAGTATTGTTTTTAATTATTTTTTTTTGACTCCGACCCACCAAATAACTCCGAAACCACTCCAACGCCGATAAGTCCACGCCTAAATATTTTAATTTGGCCAATAATAATTTAAAATTAACCAGATCAAAAGTCTTGCTTTGATCTAACATAACTAAAAAGGATAATCGTGACTTATCGTAGTTTTGAATCAAGTCATTAGTGACTTTAAGTAGTAGAATCAAGTATATTCTCAGAATTTTCTGTCCTAGGCTTATTTAAGTATTTAATTTTTCCAAGATTCTGAGATATTATTATTAGCTTTCTTAAATAGGTAAGTAATATCTAAATCAAATTCGTTATCTTCTTTTTCAAGACTCAGTGCTGGCAGTGGCGGCTGGTGGATTTTGTGCACACCCATATCTCAGTTATTAGGCATGGGACCCACATCAAATTTATATGAGCAGAATTTAAATTGATGTTTGCGAAAAAAAGTTAGTTTTTAAGTGTGCCCCCCAGCCTCCTGCCCCCCCAAATTCAGATAATTCAAATTAAAGTGGTACAATATTTAATTCACTGTTTATCGACAAATTTCAAATTTTATTAAAAAAATTCAAGAATTACAGGTTTTATATCATTTTAAATTTTTATTATTTCTTTTACTAAATTAAAAAAAAATAGAAATGGTATAAAATCTGTAATACTTGAATTTGAATTATCTTAATTTGGGGAGGCAGGAGGCTGGGGGGGCACACTTAAAGACTAACTTTTTTTCGCAAACTTTAATTTAAATTCTGCTTGCGCAGAACTTGTATATATAATATCATTATAAACTCATATAAATTTGATGTGGGTCTCATGTCTAATAACTGAGATATGGGTGTGCCCAAAATCCACCAGCCGTGCCGTGCCGTGCCGTGCTGGTTCTGGTATTGAACTCTGTAGATCATTCTATCATTTATTAATGTAGCTTCAAATTTTTGAACTGCCTCTGATTGTAGAAACTTTCCCCATTAAGAAGAGGAAAATGCTTCGTCTTTATGTCGAGGATCCAAAATAAGAACTATACAGTATATCCAATTAGTTTTCTTATAGACTTTCAGTATTTTATCTCTTGCAGCTTGAATGTAGTAAATTATTTGCTCATCGGTAGCGTCTCTATCAAACTTATTATCAAGTTCATGAGCCCATATTTCTAGTTTGTCTAAAAATAAGTTTATTCCAATTACCACCAATGGGCAATATTTTTTCCCTTCGAGTATTGAAGAAAGTGTTTTGAAGCTTCTCAGATACTGATAAAATTTACTGATCAGAACCTATTCTTTATCTGATATCTTACAATAATTTAAATTTTCGATAATATTGCATATATAGTTAAAGCATTTTTTACACTAAACCCCATGTTAGCAAAGATGAATGCCATCTTGTAGGCACATCTAATTTTGACATAGTCATTTTACAGTTTACGGCCTCGTTGCATTTGCTCAGAGTTTTTGATTTTTTTACTAGGTATCTAATTTTACTGGAGAGTTAAAATCTAAATCAGTATCATTTATATAATTTTCTGCTTCGATCTCATTTTCCAAAACTCCAAATCCTTTTCAATGTCTAAACTGTTTCGATTTGGTTCAACAACTTTCATAAAATCCTGAACAGCTAAGTTAAGAATATGAGCGAAACATACAAAATGCTTATTTTTGTAGTCAACAACTTTCATAAAATCCTGAACAGCTAAGTTAAGAATATGAGCGAAACATACAAAATGCTTATTTTTGTAGTCAAAGCCGGGAACTAAAACTTCCAAAGAACGCATCGTTGTAAAGTTAACAGCCGCATTATCAGTTTTCACAACTTAAATGCAGTCCAGCACATAATATTTTAGTACCTCAAAGAGAATGTTGGCTACAGATTCACCTGTAAGGCTTCCCTCAGCAGGAACAAAGTCTACAACAATTGACTGAATATTCCAATTTTTGTCCACAAAATGAGCTGTAATGCCATAGTATCCCTTCATACCAATAGATGACCACCCATCAATAGTCAACGAAATTTTGGATCCACTTAATTTCAGAAAGCTCTTTACAGAATTCTTCATTACCTTTTATTTATGTATAATTTTTCTTTTTAAGGTATTACTACTAGGTAGAGCCACTTCTGAATTTAAATAAGAAAATAGATTTTTGGTAACATCATCTTCAAAGAAATTAAATGGCAGATACTTTTTCGTTATAAATTCTATGAGCAGTTCGTCAACAACTTCTTTGTTTAAGGGAAAACTCTTACCAGAAAATAGGGACATTAAGTCCTATAGATTGTTATCAGTTGTAAAATAAACTTCCGAGTAAATTCAATATATTTTAAACCAGATAAACTCAGGCATCTTATAAATTATTATAACTAGAAAGAAAGGGATAATAAAATGAGTTTCTTGGCCCCGAAAACCCTAGAAATGATATACACACGACCATTTTAACTAAAAAAAAATTTAATTTTTTTCCCGATACCTCCACTTTTCACTATTGTGATGTGGAGGTAATTAAAAACATTTTGTGGGAGCGTTGTGCACATAACTTGTTAGAGTATTTTTGTGTTTCTTTCGTAATTATTATGAAGGGCTCTGTGACGTGCAAGTAAGTATTAAACAAACTATTATAATAAATCTCCAGTTACATTTTCTTTACTTTGGTTTATCCAATCTAAAATACTAGTACTTCCACTTCCTCTTGACGCAGAACTTGGGCCTTGCTTCGATTAGGTTCTCCTTGAGAAAACAGTTTTGTTATGTTTTTGAAAACATGGTATACATGGCTAATTTATCATTTTTGTTTTTGCCGTTGATACTGGTGTCCACCTCAATTTCAAAAAAATCACAGAATTTCTTTCTGTCAGTATTGCCACTGGTACCACTATCCTGCATTGGTGAATGCTGCTGCTTTTTCATTTTGCTGCCGCTATCGCAGACAGCTACCGCTTCACTCGCACTAGTCGTAGTTGCGATAGTCTTACTGATCATTTTATATTTACTAAAACCGTAAAAACCGTAACGTTTCTGTCTATTGTTTGTTAGTAAATATTCTGAGTCAGAATCGGAGCCAAATGGCTCAGCAGGCTTACTGTTTACTGAAGAGTCACTGTCACTCATGGTAAAATAAGAGATAATAATAATATAATTTACTTTTTACCACCACTATTCACAAACTGGGATACCTACTACCAATTTGTAATAATAACCTTACTTAACTAACCGGGGTAAAGCGTGCAAAAAAAGTTTTCCGGGGAATCACCGGTTAAACAAGAAATTTCAAGATCTTGAAATTTCTTGAATCAAGACAAAATTTAAGATGTCAAGAAATGGTCAGACAAGATGTTTTAAAATATCTTGATTTTTTCTCAAGACAAGACAAGAAGTTGTTATCATGACAAGAATTCTTGTCTTGTCGACTTTGTGTCGCTAGCTACTAAAGCACGGACCACTTAAATTAAGTGGTCCGTGCTTTAGTACCAAACGACACAAAGTGTACCAGTATTGTCGCCAGTCACTGCACTTTTGATTCTATTGCAATACTGAATCGTATAAACTGAATACTGAAATGTATAAACTAATGTTATGCCAATCTTGCAGACGATAGAACATTATGCTTAAAACATATTAACCCAAAATTCTAAAAATTTTAAGTTGTGTCCCTCTTGCAACCGAGGAGCGATATACCCTTCTGAAGCTTTGCGCAGAGGCATTATCGTAACCAATGAGGTCTATCCGAGGTGCGATTATTGGTAGAAGACACTAAAAGTATACGATTATAGTTGTGCTTTCTGTTCTTTTTATCAATTTGGTTAAAGTGTGCGACCGCCTCCACGTGGCTTCTAGCGGATAACGAAGTCCAGGCAGCCGGGATACGTGAATTCACTTGTCGGTGAGTGAACGCGGCAGACCGGAGAGTAAGCGCCTGGATACGGCTAAGAGTCGCTGGGGGTGTGGGATACCCCCTAAGAGGCCTTTCAGGCCTGCGGGCCATATACTTGCTACGGCAATTTTTTTTATGCATTTTTGGGCTCTCAATATAATATATTTTACACCAGGCACAATATTGCCCTGCGTCTAAGCTCTCTCCTCCCTTTTCCAGCGTACGTGGGTGTTATCTATCGCGTAGTATTCAAGTTTTCTCCCGTCGAGTCTGACCCTTAAAAGTCCAGCTGGCCTGGTTGGTGCGAAGATAAGGCCAGACATCTCTTGTTTAGTACGTGGCACCGGCGCAATCCTTTTCTAAGTTGTGTTAGAATTTGTCTACCATACGGGCCACTTAGGTGGAGTCTTGTATTAGGCGTCCGGGGCGGACAGAACGATTCGTGCTCCGGCACTTTCAGTCCGACTTATTCTTTCCACTTGGAATCCTCATAGTGAATTTAATTCGCTATGTCTCAATCCCCTCAATCAAACACTTCCCCTCTGAATTCATCAACCGACTCATACGCGTCGAGCTCTTCAGCTACGACCTCTAAGTCGGTTGAAGCTGCTGCCGCTGTCGAAGACCACGGTGCACCTGCCAGCTCTACGGAACTGGCAGGGGTCGACGATACGGCAAAAGATGTGGTAGAAACCTTGCCTCACTTGCAACAAGTCTTCGCCGAGAAATTGGGGGAAAGTATCGAAGAAGGCTTGGCTTACCTAGCTACCTCGAGTAGAAAGGCGAAGAAGGAAGACATTATCAAGACTTGTAATAACGTCTTCGTACAACTTAAAACTGATTGTATAAATCTGAACAAATCGCAAAAAGCAGCCGAGGGCACCCAGCTCCTCTTTAGATCTGTAAGCTCGTCTATCAAAAAGATCTTCAAGAGGTCTGCTGGACAGGCTGCTGCGATGTCTACTTCTCCTTCGCCTTCAAACATTAAGCAAAAACATTATGGTCGGAACTGTCGGCAAGAGGGCTGTCGCAGCTAAAAACATCCACAAAGTGGAAATTTCTCCAATAAATCCTGAAGACTTTGAATCGGCAGATGTTTTAAAGAGTAAGGTTATCGAAAAAATTAAACCTTCTACTGTGGGCTTCGTACCATCTAAAATATACATTAGGGTGGAACGAAAATGACGAAAAAAATTAAAAATTTTTTAGAATATCGTTTGGTAATAATGCGGAAAAGTTGCCTATTAGGATGGTTTATTTTGCCCCAAAAAATGAACGCTATCAAAAAATATCTTGCTGCCCCAGACAGTATGAAATATGTTGAAATAATATCATGGTTTGTGTGATGCAACTCTTCGCATAGTATGTTCTTAAAATCGCTAATGAGCTATTTTAATAACAAAATATCCCATATCTCTGTCATTCTGACCACAGACTGCCGAAGACGCCTCTGTTACTAGTTTAACGCATCTTTCAACAGCCTGTGTATGACAAGAAAACTTTGGAAATTCTAGAATGCTTCCATGGAAGCATTCTAGAATTTCCAAGGTTTCCTTGTCATCTTCTTTTATGCATCCATGAATAACCATATATTTTAGTTCATTGTTTGAGTATTCAAAAGTTAGTGGTGGTTCCGTTACATTGCAATTTTCCCAGGAAATTAAGTCTATGTAGGTTTCGGCTTCAAAATTTAAAGGTGGGATTTTAAATTGCATGATTTTTTCAGGCAATCTTGGTTTTGCCCTTGCTTTTAGAATCCTCCTTAAAGCAAGCTCATTTATATGTTTTGCTCTGCACATAACATCGTTAAAAGAATATTTTCGGGATGACCAAAGTATCCATTTCTTTGAATTACCGGATCTATAATTCGTTTAAAATTTGAATTTAAATAACGGGATCGTTTTATTAGTTCAAGTAGGTTCTGAGAACCGTTCTTGCAAGATGGGTTACATTTAATTTTAAACCAAAGTGGAGTATAAACTTTTACAACATATTCCACCAATATTTTAAGACTCTCTGATGGAGACTCCAATATACAAACGAAGCAACCTATTAGCTTTTGTCAACCATCGAGAATGAGATACTTTACCAGGATCTCTTCGAGCTACACTGTCACTGACATTACCACTAACAACAGCACGGCATATTTGTAACAAATATTTTTGGTCTGTACTTAACTCTGTCTCATCAACATCAACGGGCAAGTCTGATTCAACATTTATAACTTGAAGCTTATCACATTCTGATAATTTTTTACCAATGGGTCCTGAAAATTCAGGTGGTCCAGTTGTCAGTCCATCTAAGTGCTGAAAGAGATGTCGTAAGGGAATTTCGTTTCCGTGCAATTGACAAATAAGCCATTGTAATGGTCCACCACAGTATTCCTCTAGCAGTCTCAAAACTCCACCCTTATGTCCCGTATTTACCGCTGTTCCATCACATCCAATAACCAAAATCTTTGTTTTATCAATCTTATGTTTTTCTAAATAGCTGACAATACATAATTTTATATTTGCAGCAGATCCAGATAAGGGTGTTACGTGTCCCATATATTCAGACCCTGGTTCTTTAACTAAAACATAATGTTCTTCTGTCTTAGTTTTGCGATGCGACCTGTTTCCTTTAACTTCCAAAACTAAAGTTTTGTCTTTTCGACCATTAGGGATGACATATTTTTTGTTTCTTTCTCTACAATATTTTTGCGAAGTTTTTGCTTTGTCTTCGAACTTTCATTCTATCTACTACATTTGTTCTATTTGTTTGTGAGACCAAGCCAACATTTTCAAGTACAGAACTTGCAATTATTGCTGCAGCTCTGTCGGACACTCCCGTTCTTTCACAAGCTAAGGCAAGTGAAGGCAATGAAACTCTCATTTGCCTTACTATATTCTTTTGAGAAGTTGAAGCTTCGTACTTTTCAGGTATCATTTCTGTATCATTAACGCAGCTTTTAATAGAAATTTCTCTACTTTCTGAACCATTACTACTAACGGTATTTGACTTTGATTTTGTTTCTTTATAATTCAAGAATCTTGATGCTACCTTTTCTTTTTTTTTCATTCTTTCTTGATTTTTCCTAGTTGCCACGAGATCAACAGACCCCATAACCATTTTTCTGTCCGTTCGTTGGTCAATAAGAAAAAATTGTTCATCCTTGGGCACTTTACGAGATTTTTGACAGAAACACGCAGAAAAATCTTTGCATTTGCAAGCAGCAATATGAAACAACTTCTTAGCATCTCTACGAAATTTTGATATTTTTAATTTATATTTGTTGTCATTTTTTCGACTTTTCGAGGGTTTTACCAGATTTCTATACTTATCGTGATAGTCCCTAAATAATTTGATAATCCGGTTATTCGACACTATTGGTATAAATGCTTTTTTCCATAACTCAATCTACTTTTGAAGAATAACTTTAGCTATTTCACCTACTGATTTAATTTCAGTAACGTGTCTTAACCATAAACAAAACTTCATTATTCCTTCATAAGTAGGCAAAACATTGTCAATTAACTCGCTTGGGGTACCAAAAACAACACAGTTTTCACTTTGTCTAGTTTTTATAATTGAAGACGCCATATTTTATGCAAACAACACTGCAAAACACTCCAAATAATTCACTATAATACTAAACAAATATCAATTGACAGTTGACAGATTACTTATTTTGGCAGCGTTCCGCTAGGACAAAAAAGGCAACTTATGAGCATTATTTTATTTCGAAAAAAAAAATAATTTCAAAATTTTGTCCCAGCATTAAAAATTAATAATTTGTAAACCCGTTGGGGCACCGGAAAGAATTTTTGTATTGCTTCCAAATTTTGAGGGTTTCATATGTGACCCAAAAGGCAACTTTAGCTCACTATTACATTCCAAAAATAAAACGAAATTTCGTTCCACCCTAATATACATGTTTAGAAATAAAGGTATTATCATTAAGTCGCATAACGACAGCATTAACAAATTGCTCGACCATTCTGACTGGGCCTCTCTGAAGTTAAAGGCAAGCAAACCAAGCAAGCGCCTTCCAAGATTATCAATCTTCGGCGTCCTTTCTACCGTCTCGAAAGAAGACCTGGCCAAAATCATCTGCGATCAAAACAATATTGAGATGGGCAACTCAATAATTGTTAACCCTATTCACAAATTTGGTCCTAAAAACCAAGAACTGGTTCATTGGGCGATCGAGGTCTCTCCGGCGGTTAGGCTGCAACTTCTGTCCAGAAAATACGTGGGTGTTGGCTGGCACAACTGCAGAGTTGAAGACAGAACAAGGGTCACAATCTGCTACAAATGTTTCAAGTTTGGACATACCGCTATTAAATGCCAAGCTGTTTCATACAGCTGTGGTTTCTGTGCCGAAGCGCACGAGCTGAAAGACTGTCCGAACAAGGCGAATCAGGCTAAACTAAAATGCGCTTGCTGCGCCCAATTGAAGGGCAACAATGGCCTGTCTCACGTTCCTGGCAAGGAAAAGTGCGTCGCGTATAATAGGAGAGTTAAAGCACTAATAGAGGACACAGATTATGGGCCTACTACTTAAAAACATAAGAATCTGCCATATTAACCTTCACCACTCTTTTACTGCTTCACATGCTTTTTTTAACTCTCCTTTTGTGCAAAACATTAATATAGCCTTGATTCAAGAGCCATATTGTGTACTTTCAAAGTCCACTAACAAGTACGTTATACCTAATGCTGGGCACATTAGAGTGATAGCTTCCTCCGACAAGTCTTTTAGATCGTGCGTTGTGGTGCTGAATTCGCGTCTTAACATCCTTCCTTATATCGGTCGTGATTATCGAATGTGGCCTTCTGTCTTTTGCTCTCTGCTGTGTCTATTGCCCCCCCAGGGATGAGCTGCGTGAGTTGCTTGAGGAATGCTCTACAGTGATCGACAAACTTAACTTGCCAACTATCATTGGTATGGATTCTAATGCAAAGAACCCCTCGTGGTTTTCAGATCAGTTAGATCACAGAGGCGAAATTACTGAAAGTTTTGTCATCGAAAATGACCTACACATTTTAAATGCACCTTCACTGCTAACCTCATTAAGCTCTTCCCTTGTCGAAAGTAACATCGACATCTCTCTATGTTCTACATCGCTTTTGAACCTCATTTCTGACTGGAACGTTGTAGCCGACACCTGCCCGAGTGATCATCGCGCAATATCTTTTAACATCAGGGTCCCTGACCCAGTATCAGTGAATAATTTTACATGGACCAGGTCTCTTAGAGATGTAGATAAGGAGGCTGCTCTTGACGCAGCTATTCTGGGCATTGCTGAAATCGACTCACACCTCTGGACTCCCGACTCAGCGTCTATTGACAGAAGGGCTAGGGATCTTACAGATCTCCTTGCTGATATAAGCTCTAAATACTTAAGAAAGCGTAAATCATATACCTACCGTCCGTCTTGGTGGAACGAGGGGTTGGACATTGTTAGGATCAGGCTAAACAGGCAAAGAAGGGCATACCAAAGGGCAGTACTTCCACTACGGAATGCTCTAAGGAAAATTTATCTCGATACTGTTAATAAGTTCAGAAAAATGGTCGATAAAGCCCGAAGCAACTCATGGAGAGACTTCGTGGTGGGTGAGCTGTCGAAGAATCCGTGAGGTCTTCCCTATAAGCTGTCTAAAGCAAGTGGCTCTAAACTTACAATCATTGCGTCCGTAGTTAAGGATGATGGGCACATCACAAATAGTTTTCTCGAAACTGCCAACGCCATTATTGATAATTTTATCACTAATGACGATCACAGGGCTGACGACCCTCAACAGACAGCTTTTAGACACTCCACGGATCTTTTGGTAGGCTCGGTCCGCGAGGTGGATCTTATGACCATATCGGAAGAGGAAACTCTTGACTTCTTCATGTTTCAATTAATAAAGCGCCTGGTCCTGACAATGTTTTTTCCTCCGTCCTCCGTACGGTTGGCCCCGCTAATGCTGGTTACCTTTCTAGACTCTATAACGACTGCTTGAGATTCGGTCACTTTCCAGAGGTGTGGAAATCCGGTAAACTTGTTCTGATACCAAAGAATGGCGCTGCTTCCTCTGCTAACCCACTAAAATGTACTAGACCTATCACGTTATTACCTATCTTGGGTAAGATATTAGAAAAAATTATTAAAAGGAATCTTTTCGCAGAGATCCCAGAAAGTACATTTCACAGCGCACTGCAGTATGGCTTCAGAGAGGGCCGGTCGACGGTCGACGCAATCAACGACCTAATCAACAAAATTAAAAGTAATACCAATATCTTTGTGATAACTAGTTTTCTTGACATAAAAGGTGCTTTCGACAACCTTTGGTAGCCCACAGTAATTGACTCTTTAGTCAGTAAAAACATCTCATCCAACTCGCTCAACATCATACGTAGCTACCGTAAAAGCACCCATCTTGGAACACTTTTTAAGTTTGAAAAACGATTGTGATTAATCTATTGCATATATCGCAAATCTAAAAATAGTTGTCACTTAGTCTAATGTATTACTATAATTTTCCGTAGTAAAAGTAATAAAAAATAATTATCTAACCTATTAAAAAAAATAAAAACTGGATGTTCCAAGTCAGATGACAAGTGCTCCATGGTTGGAACACTCATTATTTTGCTATGCAATTCTAATTTGTAGATTGTGTCAGGTAGCTTGGAACATGCAGAATAAAAAATTAAACATTTTGATATTTGTTTTTTGTTTATATCTTTTTATTTACTAAATAAAAAACAAAAAATTTAAAAAAAAATACTTTATTTTTAGAGAAAAAATGAGATCATTAACTTAAACAAAATATTTCCTAGTCTATTAATTAAGAAAATCACAAAAAAATTGCAGGAATAAATATTATCAGATTCTTGGATTTCAAAGATGTAATGTCCCCTTAATATTTGTGGAGGATCTAAGCTTATGATAATCATGGGCTTATCAATTATTGAAAGGTCATCAACGCTTGGATAAACAAAGCTATTTTTTGGTGCTTTTGGTCCAAGAAATTTGCGCATAAATTTGCAGTAATATCTCTCTGAATCCCCTGGAATAACCTCAATAATTTCTCCTACGTAGTGTTTTGAAGCTGTCTTTTTTCCCTTTGCCTTAAACTCTACCAAAAGAAAATTGCCAATTGCAAATTCATTGATAAATTCTGCAAACCCGCTTCCTTCCTGTTCAATATTGTCTTCTAGAGTTTCATAGTCGGATGAGGAATCATAAACAGAAAAATTTAAATCTTCGTCCGAATCGTCTGATTCCAATTCTATTTTACGTTTCTTTGTTTTTTGGTTTTTTCTCAACCCAAGATGGTAGACGCTTTAATACCTGTGCAGGGTCAAAGGGATGAATGCCGCATGCTTTAAAGCCACTGATTAAATTTTGTTTTGCGTTTGGTAAACCTTCCAAAGCCAATCTTAGCAGTGAAGGAAATTGATCTTTCGGAATGCATCCTCTATTTTTCATTTTCCAAGTTCCAAGTTGTTTCCGCCAGGATACTTTAAGAGGATGAAAAAAAGAAACGTCTAAAGGCTGGCACAAATGAGTGCTGTTTGGTGGTAGCAATATAAATTTAATGTCATATTTTTCGCATTCCTCAATGACAGCCAAGGAAACATAACTGGACAAGTTATCTCCAATCATTACTTTTGGCCCCTCACCCAATTTTCTGACGAAAGGAACCACTATGGAATGAAACCAGTCCTCAAAAATTCTCATGTCAAACCATCCACTCTTTGAGCGATTATAACGTGCTCCCTTGGGTCCATAGTTTGTCCAAGTGTCGTACAAATATTCACTTTTGTAGACAACGTAGGGTGGAAAAATTACTCCATCAGCTGTACCCGCCATCATAACTGACACAGATGATTTGCTGCTATCTATACAGCGTTCCGGATGCTTGGCCCCTCGTTTGACAATTACTCGTTTCTTGCCAGGATCGTCAGTGAAATTCGTCTCGTCATAATTAAAAATATGACTTGGCTGGACACCTTCCAGAGATTTTTCCAGTTCAGAAAAATAGTCTTTGATAACTTGTTGGGTGACTTCAGCACGCGAACGTTTAATATTTTCAGCGTATCGTTCAGATAGAACATTTTGGTGGTCCTTTAGAAATCTTTCCATCCATCTACAACCTGGCATATTATTTTTAAATCGTTTTTCTCTAAGGCCTTTTTTTTCTAGATAATTTTTAACAATTATTTTAATGGCTTACACTGATAAGGGGAATCCCCAGTTGCCAGCTGTTTTGATTCCTTCAACTATCTGCTTTTCTTCTTCATCCGTTAACGCTTTTTGTCCTCCATATTTCCGGTTAAAAAGTCCTCTTTTTTTTCTGGAGAGTGATGAAATAGGGATTCCAAACTCTCTGGACACATCCCTATATGACCTGCCATCATTTATGCATTCTAATGCTCGGCTTAGTTGTGGGTCGCTATAATTGTGATAAACACGGCTACCTAGTACTCTACGTGACTTTCGAGGCAGGTTCCAAGTTACATCCAATCGTTGGTTTCCTAAGAAACAAAATACTTGAAACGACCCTGTGCGATATACACATTTAAGAAATTAAAGTTAGGTTAAGGACATAATAACAATTTCATATATAGGTGCAGAAATTGTATATCTCATATAGTCCCCATTTTGCAGATAAACTTTCTCATGCATATATTTTTGCAAAAAATTACGCCAATTTCAAAATGGGGTAAAATAATAACGAAATACTTACACGTGTTCTGGTGCCTCAACACACTTCCCCGTACTCACAGTTAGACTGGCCAACCGTTTTTTTCCGCGAGAATTTTGATGCAGCATGTATACAGGGGCGTATTTAAATTGATGCAATTTGTTCCAAGTAAGGTACATGTTCCATGATGGGTGCATTTACGGTACTTAAAAGATCGTCAAACCTGCTTTGAGCTTGGTCCGGTCAAGGTCTTCAGGCCCATATCTAAAGGCTGCCCTCAGGGCTCAGTTTTGGGACCTCTACTCTGGAATGCGGCTCTAGATAGCCTTCTTAAGACACCTCTTGCTGACGGTTCTTGCCTCTTCGCATACGCTGACGACATTGCGGTCTTAACTTCTGCTCAAAATCGAGCAGGCATTGAACGAGCGACTAACCACGCACTTGAGACGGTCAGTTCCTGGGCGACTAGCAACAAACTAGCTCTTTCCATTCCTAAATGTAACTATGTAGTATTCAAAGGCAAATGTCCTAGGAGGCAGTCTATAAAAATCTATAACCAACCTATTCGGGGCGTGTTCTCGGCTAAGTATCTGAAGGTCATTATGGATCACCGTTTGAACTTCCAGGAACATATTAAGATGGTCAGCCTTAAGGCCAAGGGGTTATTCTCAAATATTCGCAGACATCTGGCCAAAGTATGGGTCCCTCCCTCGGACAGCTTGATGGCAATTTATAAAATGACAGTCATTCCAATTATCGGCTATGCTTTCTCAGTTTGGCGTGAAAAGGCCAACTATGTAAGAGCGGACAGGGCAATCAACTCTTGCAGAGCGCTGTGCGCACGTACATCCACTGGATGTTACAGTGACGTTTCAGCTGAAGCAGCTGGAGTTTTAGCAAACATCAAACCTATGTATCTGGACCTATCAGCCAGGCAAGCATTGTCTGATTTTAGAAAGAAAAAGCCTGTCTCTCATTTAAATATTAGCTGGCCATCACCGAGGGAATACCCAAGCTGGAATAACGCAATAACTGCCATTGATATCGCCAGTCTAAATCAATGGCAAGCCAAATGGGATGACTGCCCAAATGGTAGATTGACGCATAAATTTATCCCATCAGTCGTTGACCGACAAACAATGAGAATACCCCACTCCAGAAGACTGGCCTCGATCCTAACCGGACACAGACGGTATAGAAGACACTTCCATCTGGTAGGCCGAACGGATGACCCCAACTGCCCAGAATGCAACTGTAAAGACGACCCTCCTCATCGCATCTTGTCCTGCTACGAAACTCATCGTGGCCCGCTTACTGAGGCGCTCCCCGTCTGGCCAATTCAACTTGACTTATTATTAATCACACTTATTGAAATAGATGGAACTGACCTCCTGGCCCCGTTCGCTGTCTGTGACGAACTGCCTGTGCGTTGATTCGTACAGGAACTGATTGTCTCTCGTCTCATGCTAACTATCAAACACGTCAACTACCAATCATAACAAATGTACCAGCGCGCACCGCCTATCTTTCCTCGTGGGCACGAGGCTAAACTGCCCCCCATTGTCCGACTTCGACCCGTGGGCTGAGCTGCCGACGGGGCAGCGACGCCCAAGCGCCCGTCTCGTGCGGGCCGCGTGGTCTTGTCGGCAGGCCAGCTTACACCATATGCCCTGGTTTTCCCCTCTGGTTATTCATCTGACTACCCTCCTGAACACAAGGTAAAAATATTCCTGCCTTTCTCGATCTCGTCTGCTGTGGGTGGGCTCTTGGACGCCGCATGCGGTGCCTGCATTGGCTGGGCCCAGCTGGTGCGGGCCGCGTGTGCGCCGTCGATGGGTCAGCCCACTTCGCCTGTCTAGTGCACTTCCTCTGATTTTCTACATATACCACCCTCCTGACGGACGACGTTCGTGACGCCTGTACTCGGTCTGCCCAGCCGTTGCAGGTCGCGTGGGCGTCGTCGGCAGGTTAGGTCGCACCGCTTGTCCCGGTCATCTCTACCTATCGTTTTCTCTTACTCACCACCCTCCCGGGCATGAGGTGAAAATGCCCCACATCTGACCTACTTATTCGTCTGCTGCTATCTGGCTTGCCGACGGCGCTTGCTACGTTCGTATTCCGTTTGCCCAGCCGATGCGAGCTGTGCGAGCCCCGTCGGCGAGCTTGATAGCTCGCCTGTCTTCTGGTCTTTCTTTCGTCTACTCTTCCACACCACCCTCCCGAGGCACGAGGTGAAAGCCGCCTCATGTTCTCCGATGTAGACCGCTGTGGGTCTGCCTGCCGACGGTTTCTGGGGTATGCGCCTAGCCCGGTCGCCGTCGCCAGGCGGATTTACTTCGCCTGTCCCTGTTTTTCTCTTCTGGTTCGCGCTGAGTGCATTCTCATGGACTCTCCCTTCAACGACCCCCAGGCAATTTTATTTTTTTATTTTAAGGTAGTTTTAGGTCACAGACTTCGGTCGTACCGCATCTTTTATGTCCTAAGAGACTTCAGAAATTTAATTTGAATTTGGTAGGTTATATCACAGAGGTATTAGGTACTCTGTAGCCCGGATAGGGCGTCGTTGAAGAGGGGGCCCAGGCAATGACATCGAGCTGTGCCCGGTGCTATTGCTTCCAGGTGCCCATGTTTTCCCGCTTACGTTTCCCCAGTCCCACCTTCTTTTCTTTTACCCATAAGGCTTTAACAGGCCGGCATCCCATACTTTTACGTACCATACTACACAGATTGTAATTCAGATAGGTATACTAACCATAATTTAAGCAAAAATGTATTAATAACCGCCCTCGAGACGTGAACCAGTGTAAATACTAACATTTCATGTAAAACAAATAAAGAATAAAACAGCCATGAGGCAAGGAAGGGAACTGGGGAGACAGAGTTGTAGGCAGGGGCTTGTGGGTTGTGTTGGGGGTATTGCAGCTGGACGGGGACATTGTGCCTCTCCAGCGGCGATGTCCGCAACACCTGGGGCCTTCCCCTCTGTCTCTCTTTTTTTATACCCTTCTGAAAATAATTTATAGACATGATACCATTGAATCAGGGAGGCAAATTTTCTAATTTATAAGAAACTTCACTTGGCGACGCGATGCGTGCGGCAACCCTTCTGATTTTTTTCCTTAACCGGTAATTTTTATGTTACGCACCAACATCCGATTGGTTCGGTTCGGTTCGGTTCGGTTGGCGTCTTATCAATTCAACATATACTTACGCTTACTTAATCAATTATATTTTATATAAAACGCTGTATTTTTATTATATTCTGCATTCGGTTTTAAAATAGGCTGTTATTATGATAATTTTACTTTTTATTTTAATTAATTAAATAAAGTGTTTTAGGAGTTTCTTTTCTCCAACGTAATTGGCGCAGTCGTTTAAGGATCTGAGGGGTGGAAGACAATAATCGTAGCAGCGCTTTGTTTCAAAGATAACTTTTTTTTAATTAAGAAAGAATAAAAGAAAATAAAGTTATGGAAAAAAAATAACGCAGAAACTCTGTTCCTAAAGAATATAATGTGAAATGACATTACACTATGTTACATGAGAAAAAGTTTCAGCAGTATACAGGATAGTCTATAAATGATATCATTACGGATTATAAGAAAAAGCCTTAACAACAAACACATTTCTTTTCAAAGTCTGACATATAAAAAATGCAGTATAGCCACTTTATACGAATTAGCGATGAAAATTGTCAAAGCAAAAAAACCTTTTTGTGATGGAATACCTATTTAAAATTGTGTAATCAAAATTGCAAACCAATTCAATAAAACAAAAATTGCCGCATTAAACAATTCCAAGACGTGTAGACCAAATTAATTAAAATATATAAAAAAAATTCCACAATTAAACATGTACCTAAATATTTTTTATTCTGCCTGGACGAAAGCACTGTCCGACAGCAGTCAACTGGTAATGTTTGTTAATAACAAATTGTTATATAAAAGGACTAGCGTAGCAGATCAGAGTCTTGATCTTATTTCTCTCCATGGTACGTAGTATCAGACTATGGAAGTTCGATTAATGTTCCTGTTTTGTCACTGATGGAGCACAAGCTATGATAGGAACTGAAATTTTATTTTTAGGACTCTTAACACAAAACAATATTAACTATCCATTGATACACCAAGAGGCCATATGTGGAAAGTCCTTACATCAAATAAATATCATGAAAGTTGTTGTTAAAATTACTAATATTATAAGACTTTTTCTTAAAAATTAAGTGAAGGCCGGCACTACGGAACTAAATAATTTACCAATTTACATGGTCATATAAGAGGATTTAAAAATAAAATTAAGATTTTCAAGTCATCTCTATAAAAACATAATTTTTCCTTTTTTATTTAACTCATATGAAATAAACTGCGCACCACTTAATGTGTTGCGACCAAAAAGTTCGTCCTTTTTCAAAACGGCATAACTTTTTTGTTTCTTGAACGATTTTATTTTGGTTTGTGATGTCTGCTAGCCCCATTCTCTGGAAATTCATGCTATAGATATGAAGCTCACGGTTCTTCAAGTAAATTTCCTACAGGGTGATATGTAAAACGGTGAAAAATTTCAATAACTTTATCCAAGCCCCGTTTGTAAAAAAATATTTTTTTCTCGTTTTTACTTTGAAATAATGAAGTATTATGTCTTACCTTAAAACTTTTTTCAAATTTTTCGAATTGGAATCTTAGCAACAAAAATATGATTTTTTTTTCAAAGGAGTACAATTGATGCTTTTTTGTAGGCAATACACTCAGCCTTTTTAAGAACAAAAAGTTAAGATGGTGAAAGATTGTTCCTTGAATAATTCTGAACAAGCGACAAGCAACAAACTTCCATTATTTTCAGAGACCACTTTTTCAAAACGACATTTTGGTGAAAATTTTCGAAAACTAAACCTGAACCGTTATTTACGATGAATTGGTAAATTCGATTCGGGAAGCCACACCCCAGGAATTTCTAAGGAACTTGGTCTAGGGAATGCCCAGGAGGGTTAATGAATTATTACGGATTAGGGGAGGGCCAACGAAATATTGAAAGTTATTATTTGTTACATTTTTCTGTTGAATGTTGCAGTTTTTATTATAATTATATCTTCGCATAAAATTTTCAAAAATGAACAAACAAATTTTGGGGAATTGTTTTCGAATTTTGATTCTTGGTGATTTTGGTTTTATCTAAAACTTAAATTTGACAACTGAATCACATCAGGAGGTCAAAATTATAAAGCAAACATGTCACGAACGTAAATATCGGTTCAGGTTTAGTTTTCGAAAATTTTCACCAAAATGTCATTTTGAAAAAGTGGTCTTTGCTTATGTTAGGAAAATAATGGAAGTTTGTTGCTTGTCGCTTGTTCAGAATTATTCAAGGAACAATCTTTCACCATCTTATCTTTTTGTTCTTAGAAAGGCTGAGTGTATTGCCTACAAAAAAGCATCAATTGTACTCCATTGAAAAAAAAAATCATATTTTTGTTGCTAAGATTCCAATTCGAAAAACATTTCAAGGTAAGACATAATACTTCATTATTTCAAAGTAAAAACGAGAAAAAAATATTTATTTTACAAACGGGGCTTGGATGAAGTTATTGAAATTTTTCACTGTTTTACATATCACCCTGTAGTAAATTTACTTGAAGAACCGTGAGCTTCATATCTATAGCATGAATTGCCAGAGAATGGGGCTAACAGACATCACAAACCAAAATAAAATCGTTCAAGAAACAAAAAAGTTATGTCGTTTGAAAAAGGACGAAATTTTTGTTCGCGACACATTGAGTGGTGCGCAGTTTACATTGATACATTGATACAATTGCAGAAGAATTCGAAAACCGATTTAAAACTTTAAGAAAATAGAAGAAGAAATACCGTTAACTGAAATTGTGTGATTTGCAGTCAGATCCTTTTTACCATGGAATAACCGAAATAGGATTGGATATTTAAAGTAAGGCTTTATAATGGGCTTAATATTGGGACCGATTTTTAACATGAAATTTATAAAGACAAAATATAGGAGTTCCCTATCTAATAAGTCACTTCCTCAGTTGCTTTTTTTGTTAACAACAAATATTAATGTTGATATCGATACACTCGTTAGTGAAAAACAACATCTCCAAACTCGTATATTTGTGTTTTTTTTTTGAATAAATAAAAATAACTATACAAAGATGATTTTTGAAATTATTACAAATGATGCATAAGAAGTACTTTATGATGCTGCTCTCAGAACCGCAATTTTATTTACAGCGGTCATTGTGTCACTTGGACAGCCCCAATCAATTAAAGCCAATTTAAAACTTTTTATAAACAGCCAGCCATTTCCGACATAAAGTTGTGGACAAAATTTAGGGTTGTTATTTGATAAAAACCTTAGGTTTACCAACCACGTATCTTAATAAGTAAAAAAGGCATGCAATATATTAAAAACAGCATTTTAAATTAAGCAAAAAATAATGCGAAACGCTGATATCTTATCATACTGTATTATTTGTTGTTTACCATGTTTATATCAACTTACTTTGAATCGCACACAAAAAATTCAAAACAACTGTTGCAGGTTTATTTTTGGACCAAAAAGGTACGATCACGTTTTTCAAAAATAAATGATAAACATCCTTTATCTTGCAGTACCCATATGCAAAATTTTGTTATCTGATTTATTATTTATTAAATTTATTTAAGAAAAACCCCATATTTAGTAATGAACTACATAATTTCAACATAAGGTATGCTTGCAAATTCAATTTGCTTCATTTTAGTTCTGCCATCTTTTGCTATAATGTGGTTAATGTTTTTAATTACATTTAAGACCACTATGTAAAAGTCACATTTCGTAATGGCATCATTGCATAGAAAATTAATCTTTTCATTGGCAAGGCAAAACACGAATGTAAAGTGACAGGTCTGTGTGAAAAGAAATTGACAGCATCGTACTACATTCGTTTAAAAATTTGTATTGTTTTTGTATACCACGGTGTCCCTGAATAACTTTTAATTGAAAGGTTAAGACGTATCCGATTTTTTTCATATTGTGATAAAAAATCACTTACAAGACCATTTTCTTTCAGGATAAACTCAATTCGCTTGGCACTTTTTTAGAAAAATCAATTTCTATAAAAACATTAATGATTTTTAATAAATTTTTTGAGACTTTTAATTAGTGAACTCCAAATAATGACTAACAGCTTTGAGACTAGTGAACTATTGACATATGTCACTTGTCACATGTCACATGTCGAAATCATGATTGAAAATACCGTTGCGTTATTTTACCGTTTTTTTTCTATTTGTAGCAGATTTTTTTATAAACGAGATATAAATAATTATATTTTCATTGATTATAGTATATAGTGCAATGAAGCTAATAAAAAAACCTTGCATGGACTAACTCGGATAATCGCGAGAGAATTTGATTGTTTTGTCTTAAAAAAAAAGAAAAACTGTCTAAAATATGTGGAAAGATTCTGGAAAAAGTTTAAAGCATATTAGTATATGATGTAGAAGATGAACGATTACCAAAAGTTGTATCTTTTTTAATGGGTTTATTTTTAGCACTTTTTATAAAATTATACCCAATTATTTTCAATTATAAAAATCAGGCAAATTTAACGTGTTTCGATAAATTTCTTGTTTAGCTGCTTTATATAATAAAATTTCACAACCTTTGCATACAACTTTTGGTAATCGTTCATCTTCTACATCATATGCTTTAAACTTTTTCCAGAATCTTTCCACATATTTTAGACATTTTTTCTTTTTTTTTAAGACAAAACAAACAAATTCTCTCGCGATTATCCGAGTGAGTCCATGCAAGGTTTTTTATTAGCCATATTGCACTATATACTATAATCAATAAAAATATAATTATTTATATCTAATTTATAAAAAAATCTGCTACAAATAGAAAAAAAAACGGTAAAATAACGCAACGGTATTTTCAATCACGATTTCGATATGTGACATGTGACAAGTGACATATGTCAATAGTTCACTAGTCTAATGAATTACACATTTTATGTAACAAATACATTAAAAGCTGTTAGTCATTATTTGGAGTTCACTAATTAAAAATCTCAAAAAATTTATTAAAAATCATTAATGTTTTTATAAAAATTGATTTTTCTAAAAAAGTGCCAAGCGAATTGAGTTTATCCTGAAAGAAAATTGTCTTGTAAGTGATTTTTTATCAAAATATGAAAAAAATCGGATACGTCTTAACCTTTCAATTAACAGTTATTCAGGGACACCGTGATATGTATGTCTAAATATCATTTAGAACACAATTAATTGTGTTTGTATAATAAATTTCAATTTAATTAAATTGAGAAGGTAAGTTTATTGATTTTAAGTAACTTATACCTTGAAAATTAAAAGAATAAAAGAAGATGAAAGTAATTTTAACAGCTGTCAAACACATTTTTAGGTTATTTTGTTTGGTAAATAATAAAAATAATAAACAATAAAAGGGTCGTATCATTGTGTTTCACTTGTGAGAAAACCTTTCTTCAAGCTCGTGTTAATGCACATTCGGCCTAACGGCTTCGTGAGCAACTTAAACACTCGCATGAAAAAGTCGCTTTTCAATACTTGTAAAACCAATAGGTAACTATTGTTTCTATATTTTAAATGATTTATTTTTAGACTACTGATTTATTTATTTCTTTGTTTTGTATGTTTAAAAGTGTTCAATAAAAATTAAGAGATAATTGTTTTGATAGCAGTTGACTTTTACATAAAGGTTTATTTAGAATTGTTTTACCAAATTGAAAATTATTAAATGTTATGCAAATTTTTTTTTTTTTAATGTGAATAAGCAATGTTAAATATTTGTAAGTTATCTCTTCCTTGTAATAATTTCGTTATTGTCAAAGATGCTCTACTCTTAAGCAAAAAACATATTTTTGATAAACCTCGTAAAAAATAATATAAAATTTTATATCTGATGGTTGCATTTCAGGTTTTAGACCATTCACAACTTTTTATGAAATGAATAATACAATAGTTTTTATATGCCGCCAACTTGTACATACATATATTTTTGTTAACCTTATTTTTAATGATTATTATATTTTTGTATTTTATTTGAGGGGTTGGGTTAAGTAGGCTAGATCTCGGCCACTATATTTTTTACTATTATTATTATTTAGGTAATTAAAATTATACTTACGACAAAGTTTTTCATCTCTCCATTTAGCAAGTCCTTTAATTCCTTTCAAAGAGCAATCGCGAATGTACATGCTTAAGGATTCACAAGCACATTCAGTTTTATCTGTTTTTTGACAAGAACAATAGTCCCATGTGCATGCATTTAATATACTTTCAGTATCTACAACCTAGGAATTATATGTATTAACAAAAGTTTGTGTATGTATTTGTGGACGTGCCTACTTACATTATTACATTCATCAAATCTTGTGTCAAAAAATAACTTTTTACAAAATTCGTTAGCTTTAAACTCCATAGTTGAAGAAAGTCCCATATTTTTACAACCATGTGTTTCAGTTGGGTCATCGTTACAAACATCTAAAAAATATGTTAATACGAATTCTTGTCTTTTTGGTTTTATGTAATACCTTTTAAATCAAAAACTTTCCAGCTACTTGCGAAGGTTGAAATTGTTTTTGTTTGAATTTCGTCTTTGCTCACTAAATCATTAGTTTGATCATCGTCCAGTTTACCACATAAACCTTCTGTCCTATTCCAAAGGCTCTCAGTAATGTCCACTTGTATCATATTCTAGTGATTTAAAAATATATTAATTCCAGACTTTATACGTATAATTATTATTACTAATTAGTGCCTACTACGTAACATATAATTTTATATAATAATTTATAAAATATTAATTATTTGACTTATTTTATTAAAATGAATGCATGAACGGGTGGCATTTTTCCGTCTCCTATAGGGCTAGCGCAACCGAGTGCGCTAATCGTGTAGGATACGGAAGCTCCGTTCCCTAAGTGGTTAACGCACCGCATACGAATAAGCACTCTGCAATGAGCTTTCTAGGTGATCTTTCTTTGTATGTACAATAATAATAATAATAACCAAACAAACAGATTGACGTATGTCTTAAAGGCGCGAATCATTGTATGCACGTTATAGCGCGATAATACACTAGAGGCTAAATGTAGCAAAGTATTCCTCAAGGTTATGACGAATAGCTGTCATCTTGGTTATGCATATCAATACGAAGCCCGGTGCATTATACTGGCTAGTTAAAGCCCGGTAATGCGGGACGGGGGGTTAACTGTTCGTTGGTGCATAAACAACAAGAGACACACTCCGCGGTGTATCAGAAGCCCTGCAGTGTGTCTGAGATCTATTTTATAAGTTAGTTAAGTGTTCTTTTTATTTCAATGTCTAAATTTATAATTATAGGCAAATTTGATTTAAAATACCTAGACTATACCCAGAGCTGCAACAAGTCAGTTTTAAAAAGACTTAAATCTTAAGTCTTAAGTCAATTCTAAAATCAAAATGATTTAAATCTTAAGTCAATTCTAAGATAAAGTTCAAATGATTTAAGTATTAAGTCTTTGAATTAAATCATTTTCTTTCAAGTCAAGTATTTTTCGCAAATTCTTAAATCAATATAAAATGATTTAAGTCATCTTATATTTAATGCTATTGTTGAATTATAATTATTATAAGAAAAATTATTATAATAATAATTATTATTAAATTAATTATAAGTCATTATTTAAAAATATTGTCTAAATTTATAATTATAGGCAAATATGATTTAAAATACCTAGACTTATACTTAAATTTAACAATATTCTTAAATAATGACGTAAATATACTTAAATATTTAATAATATTGTTGAATTATAATTATTTATATTATAATAATTTAAAAGTATTGTTGAATTTAGGTACCTATATAAACATTTCATTTATTTTGTTTATACATCATAATTTTGAAAAGCTTTAAATATCTTATACAGGGTGCTCTACAAGCTCTATGGCAAACTTTGTCAGATGATATCTGGGTTAATTATAAATTTTTTCTTAAATGACATGGATGCGATTCGTTTTTGTTTAAAAGTTAAGCCTTTAAAAAATATATTTTCGCATGTTAATAAAAAATATACAAATATATCAATAATTATAATTATTATAAGAATTATTGTTGAGGTTAGGTAATTTTGTGTAAAACTTAAATGGGAATCAAAACAAGTGAAACTGAATGAATATTTTTTTCATGAATTATAAAGACATCTAGTTTTTTTTTTAATTATTAGATTTAAATACCTACACCAAAAATTCTAAAAAATCTAAATAATGACGTATACTTTAATACACTGCCCGACAAAATTATCGCATAATAAATATAAAAAATTAACTCTAAAACGCCTTACTCTTACTGTTCGCTTGATTTGTACAAAATTTTCAGGGTATACTAAAAAAAATACGCTCTTTAGCAGCATATTTGCATTTGAACACGTAAATTGAGATATAAGTTGAAGTATTTTTATCCAAAATTTCATAAAGATTAGTAAAGGCGTTTTAGAGTTATTTTTTATTTATTATGCAATAATTTTGTCAGGCAGTGTATTTAAAAATAGGTGAAAAAAATGGTTTTAGTAAGTTTACGAATTTGTCCTAGAAAATCTAGTAAAACAATAAATTTTCAAATATAGGTACCTATACCTATTTAGGCATAAAATTTATTATCTACGCCAGTGAGATAAGAACTTCTTATCCCACTCATTTTGAGTGAGATAAGAAGTTCATTAACGCACGCGTTTTTCTCTGCTTTTAACCAATCAAATAAAAAAGTCAAAATGTCAAAATAACCCTAAATTAAAGTCTTAGACAAAAATAATTACCGTTTATTTTTCCATTTAGAGGCGTAGATAAAAATTTGTACAATATACGTGTGATAACGCTTTATTAACGTACTTTTGCGATTGCCCAACTCGTGCTACGCACTCGTTGGGCAAATTTCGCATGCGTACGTTAATAAAGCTCTTATCCCACTTATATCGTAAATAACTATTATTTATTAGTATGTGAATTATTAAGTTTAGTTAATTTAAGTATATTTTGTTTCTAAAAAAACATTAAATATTATTTTTTAAAATGTTAAAATTTGATAATAAATTTTTGTTATGAAAAACTAAACCAAATTAAAAGTTGGAAAATAAAAAAAAGAAGTGGGGAAAATTGCTATTTAGTTTAGCATCCTATAAACAAGAAAAATGTATTACCAACCAAATATTGTTTTATAGCTCACATTATACCCGATAAAAAAAGATTTTATATAGTTGTATATCATTATATAAAATGTATATAGAGTTATATATAATTAATATATAATTATATAAAGTTTATATATAATGATATACAATTATACATAATTCTATATAAAATATTTTTTTAAAAATATGGAATTTATATAATTATATACAATTATATATAACTCTCTATGAAATTTTATATACTTTTATATAATTATATACAATTATATATAATAATTTCCAATTATATATAATTATATATTAGACCCTATTAAAGTGTCTATATAATTATATAGTATCATATACAATTCTATATAATTATATACAATTCTACAAAATTATATATAGGTCTCTTTTAAGGTATTTTAAATTGTTTATAATTTTATATAATTATATACAATTCTATAAAATTATATATAGGTCTCTTTTAAGGTATTTTAAATTGTTTATAATTTTATATGATTATATACAATTCTATATAATTATATATAAGTCTCTTTTAAGGTATGTAAAATTGTATATAATTCTATACAATTTTATATAAATATATATAAGTTTTTTTCAATTGACCTTAAGGTATATAAAATTGTTTATAATTATATACAATTCTGTATAATTATATATAATTTAAGAAAATTATCCAGATACCTGGATAATAACGTCATTAAAAAAATTATTTTCAATTGGTTAAGGATTTTGATTACAAAAAAAGTAAGGAGTATTTAATATTATGTGGGTAAGTGATAATGATTCTTATAAATCGATTTATTTTTGGTGAAGATTCGCAAGTAGAATTTTAATTAAAATTTCAGCCCTTGACTAAAACGCCATAAAGTAACAGCTTGTCAATGTGTATTTAAAATATTTTGGAAACATGAACGATTATCGTATCGTTCAACGATACTGGGAGTGGAAGTGGCAGTAGAAAACCAAGATTACATTTTGTGTATTTGTTATATGACCACAAAATACAACTGGATAGCAGCCAACTTAATACGCATGCGCAGAACTCACGGCTGGTAATTAATAATTGTTCAAACACCTTAAGCAACGATTGTTTGTAAGGTATTAACATATTTAGAGGTCTCTAAACAATAAATAGGGTAGTAAGCATCAGTTAACCTTAAAAATTTAATTACAAACGCAATCTGTACTCATTTAATAGTTTGTGTTAATTTGCCGCCATACGTTATGGTGGTAACACTGGAGTTTTTGAGAGAAAGCTAAGATGGCGTGTTTTGGTGTTCTTTGTCGCCTTTTGTTAGAAGAAACTCTTTTTCTGTGGCGTGAATCTAGATATCGTATATATATATATCGTTATATTATAGTGTTCTCTTCAAGTTAAAGCTTAAATAAAACTAATTTGCTTGACTGATTGTTATAATTTGGATATTTCAACAACCATTAGTGCTTATTAATTGTATATTTTTAAGTTTAGGGTAGTAATGCTATAATAATTTTTTGTTTCATATTAAGTTGTCTTTCAAAATATGTAAAAATATACAGGGTGTCCCATTAAAAAAACGTTATTTTTGTAATAACTTCGGAAACCCGACGTTCAATTGTTTTTCTGTAAAAATACCACTAATTTTCTAATTTAACCGACTTTGTAGCTCCAATAATAAAGGTGAGCAGGTTTTGATGACATTATATTTTTATATTCCTGCATAAAGTCACTAACTGTCATGTTGTGAAAATCTTAAAAAACATAGTTGTGTGAATAAACTTTAAAATTTTTACAAAATTTCAGTTGGTGACTTTTTGCAGGAATATAATAATATATGATTATATATATTTATATATAATTGTATAGAATTCTATATAATTATATCGGGTCGGTTTTCTTATATAATTATATATACTTCTATATAATTGTATTGAATTCTATCCAATTATATCGGGCCATTTTTTTATATAATTATATATAATTTTATACAATTATATACAATCTTTTTTTATCGGGTAAAGTTAAAGCTGCCTTTTATCCAATAAAAATCGTATATAAAATATTACTTTCACCAAAACGGTTGATAAAACAATATTGTAATGGTAAGTATAAATGGACAATCCTTATGTAAAAGGAAACAAGCGCCAAAAACTATTTTTGGACTTAACAAAATTTTTTTGTAAAATAACTCATTTTTAATAATGCTCAAAAAGTTTATCATTATTTAGAACTTCTTTTAAATTATTGAGAGGACTTTCAAATTATAATTAAGTTTTTGAGCAGCATTAAAAATGAGTTAGGTATATACAAATAAGTTTGTTAAGGTCCGGTTCCTTTTAGATAAGCACTATCCAAATAAAGAACCCAATTTCTTATTGTTGTTTGGTCGTTTGGTCGTTGTTTGCCATGTATAAATAAATTGACCAGTTGTGAATGTTAATTGACAAATTGCCATGAGAAGCTATCTGCTAAAAAGGAGTTTTTACAATTCAATGTTACATTTAAATGATATTTAATAAAAATAATTTTTAATTTATTAAATACCGCTATTGGAAATTTTTTAAATAAATTAAAAATTATTTTTATTAAAATTGGAAATGATTCAAATAAATTAAAATTATTTTATTTAAATTATTTAAATGTAACATTGAATAATAATAATAATATATACAAATCCCCTTGTTTCCCCAATTAAAACTATGTAAAATATCTGGATAACTTGTAAAACCGCCCCAAAGAAAAATGCACTCCAAATAATACTTCAAAAATAAATAATTCTTTAAAATTATGTGTATTACGAAAGTTTAACAAAACATTGCCTTTTAATCCACGCCATGTAGGTTCTCTACATAAACATAATTTTGGGAATATAACATTTATTTTGAAAATCATGATTTTACTGCAGTAGATACAAATTTAAGAATCCCGCATTATTTTCCCCGCCTTCCTATCAAAAATTCATTGAGCGTATACAAAGCTGTATATAATATAATCTAATATATATATATATATATATATATATATATATATATATATATATCTAAGGGCAGGCTGGATTGTGACAATGGGACGGGAGGGGCCCAATGGGGCGGGGTCGGTTGGGTTGGGTTGTTAAGTTTGGGTTAGTTTGGTATGGCACAATGCAGTGTACCTGCATAACCAAAATGACAGGTATTCGTCATAACCTTGAGGAATACTTTGCTACATTTAGCCTCTAGTGATAATAGCTAATTACAGGCGGTGCGTTAACCACTTAGGGAATGGAGATACAGGTCTCGCTTCCGTATCCTACACGATTAGCGCACTCGGTTCCGCTAGAACGAAACGGGCGTTACCTTACTGAAGTACCTAAATTTTTTAAATTTAGTTTCTTTGGCTTAATTTTTTTAAATGCTTTTATGTTCTTTATTAAGATGTAAAAATACAATTTGACAATTGATTGTATTTTTTTCAGCCTTTTTAAAATCGCCCTTTACTCTGCCTTGCTCTGTATATTTAAACAAAAAAATGTGCAAGAAGTGACAAGTACAATTCCATAAAAATATAAATTAGTTAAAGGCACATATGCAATGTAGATGAGGAGGGATGTTTTATACTAAATAAAAATTATTGTAGAATTACCTTTCCATCCCATTTAATTGTTGCTCCAACAAAGTCAAGCGATAATAAAACATAATGAGCTTCAATTTTTATTCTCATACCAGGAAGCTCTCCAGGTATAGGTAAAATTTTATCGGAACTGAGCCAAATTGGATACCCTTTATCTAAAATATATATTTTTATATATCAAATTTAATATTTAATTTAGTTTTATTACCTGATTGTTTAAGTGTAAATTTGTTTTCTTCCAAATATATTTGAATAACTTTAGAACATAAATTTGGATTTGTACTACATTCTTTGGCATTTTGAATAATTATATTAAATGTATCATCAATGGCATCTTTAACCAAAACATATGAACATTTTGAGTTAAAACTAAAAGTTTGGTTTATTTCAGAAATTATTCAACATAATATTATATTATATATAAATAATAATAATAGATTTATTGACCATAGGCCTAAAGCTCATTCACATCCACTTAATAAGCGTAACTTAACTTAACTTAACCCTTTCAATACGACTTTTCGGAAATTAATTTAAAACTTTTTTATTAGTGTTAAAACTATATTTAGGTTAAAAATAGTTAATTGACTGAATAACAGATTTTTAACTTTGGTGGTATTTGAAAAAAAGGCCTGGGACAGATTTATCCCTGCAGTAATATGCCCTGGGATATATTTATCCCCACACTAAAGAAATTCTACTATTTTTGAAAATGTTTATTATCAAAAAACACTGATGGGATAAAACTATCCCCTGTCATATTACTGCAGGGATATTTTTGTCCCAACGTATATTTTGAGGAATGAGTTGTGACGTACAATGCACATAAAGTATCACAAAAATTCAAGCAAAATTTACACAAAAACTGCACAAAATAGGTTATGTGACTGGTCTTTTTCAATTTAGAGCGTGCAATGGCCGAAAAACAGCTGGTTATTGTTCACATGACGTTAAATAAATTAAGTTTTTATTACTGATATCCCAAGTCAAGACATAGAAATACTAAATTGTCCCGACCCTGTTTTATTTAAACGCACTTAATTAAGTAGAGACATTTTTTAATTTTCTTTGGGACGTATATATCCCCGCAGTATTGAAAGGGTTAAGAAACCTACGTCTGTTAAGTTGTCTGTTTAAATTAACTTAATACACGCAAAGAACGTAATATACAAGCACGCGTAATGTATACATCGATGTAGACTGGGTTGCCTATCTATCTATAAAAGTGAAACAACAAGATAGCGCTATATCGTTTTACTGGGCATGTGATTTGCTCACGTAAGAAACGTATTCCCTTAAGTTGAGCCGGACCCAACTTTTGAATACGTTAAGTTACGTGTGATAAGTTTTCTACGAATGTAAACAGCTGCATTGGTTTCAATGTATTTTAACTTACGTCTCTCACGTAAGTTAAGTTAAGTTACATTATTAAGTGGATGTGAATAAGCTTTTAGAGTAAAATACATTTTTAATTATACATAATGTATACATACATTATTTAATTATGTATTATATAAGTTGAGAAATTAATTTTAGAGTGTTATGATTTTAATTTATTATTATAAATGACTTACTTAAAATATTAAACAATGAATAATTTTAAAGTGAATAGTAAATTTTTGGTTCATAAATAAAACATTTTCTTAAAATATAATTTGCATTAGAAATATTTTTTATTTATAATGCACTTTTTATTAGAAAATTATTATTCTATATATTTATTAAAGAGTTTCTTATAGTTTTAGCCTTAGGTGCAAAGAGGTTAATCTAAATTGTTTTAAATTGTTTCAAACCTAAATATTTTCCCATCAAATGTTTTATAATGTGAACCTCCCCATGAAAAACAGGTTCCAGGTTTCGGTAATTTTTTTTCCAATAATAATATTTGATTTTGAGAAGTAAACCCAGAGTCACTTCCATTAAAAAATAAATTAGGATTAGTCTGAAAAAAATAATGTTAAATTGTTATTTTAAACTATAATATACAACTTACGTAATCAAATTTTGTACCATTTAGTCTAAATTTTTTAAAGTAGTCTGAACTATTTGAGTATTGATGATAATAAGTATTTGACGTTTCAGGCCCATGAATATCTTGTACATTTTCAGCTAAAATTAAAAATTCTGAAAGCTGATTCTGATTTTTAAATTTCAATACTTACGGTAAACACACTGAGGAATAGAAGACGGTTCAAATTTTCCAATTGAATAATGGCATACATAAAACTCGGCTGGAGAAAATGAAAATTTTATATCTGTGGGACATGATAAAGAACATTTAAATACATCAGATGTTCCTGTGCAATTATATGCTCCATTAAATTCAATACTTTTTGGATTACACGCATCACTTCCTAAAAATTTTTTTTTTCAAATTTGTATAACTAAAAACTGTCAAAAGTAGGTACGCGTCGCGACAGAACTGATTTTAACAATTGTTTTATGTATGATGTTCTTTTTGTTAGTCAGTACATTCAGTTAAAATATATTTAATTCCAATCTCCGTTTTGCATTGACCCCTTCTATCATTTTAATTATTTTGGTCTCACCATTCTGCCGTAGTTATTAATAAAACTACTTAAATTTGTCGATTTACAAAAAACAAAAAGCGATCTAAAAAAATAAAACTTTCAGTAAGTAGAATAAAATGACTAAGATTATTATATTTGGTTTTCCATTAGTCTTAAAGTAGAATTTTAAATAATGTACTTTTAACGAATATATTGCTTTCCTAATATTATATGAGTCGTAAGATAATAAGTTATTTCTTGTAGATATGTTAAATTGTGGAGTACCTTGTAGATTTCTATTAGCTGTAAAATTCGAGAAGAAACGTACCTAAAATATAGGCTAAACTTACTTCACCAATATTATAGTTGGGGTTAAAAAAAAAATTTAATAAATAGTTTAGTAACTGGACTTATGTAAAATTGGTATGGTTATTTATTAAAGAGGGATGGTATGGTAAGGTTTAAAAAATAAAAAGAGTAGTTTGTAGTTTTATTCTGATATAGGGGTATAATATCATCGCTATATAGGGTGTCTTGTAATAAGGTGTTATACTTAATTTTCATGATTGTTTTATTCAGTAGCACTAACGGTGATAAAGGAAAAACTCATCTCCCCAAGGGCCGACAAATTATCACCTGACACTCTGTATGTATAAAATATGAGTTTGCAATAATATAAATAGGGAATATACTTGGTTAAAAGCACAAACCATAATTCAATCTTAAGAGGTTCCTTATCGAGTTAAAAACTTTCCTTTAAAATAACACAGGATTCCTGTTACAGAACATCACAGACCCTAATTTCAATCTTAAGAGGTTCCTTATGGAGTTAAAAACTTTCCTTTAAAATAACACAGAATTCCTGTGACAGAATATGTGTTTTTTTACTATTTAACTATTAATGAACAATAAAGTTATAAGTAAAGACCGGATTTTAAGCATGATGCTTATTGCTTAATTTTTTGCTTTTTTTAAGGTTTTATGCTTTTTTTCCATTTCGTGCTTATTTAAACTTTTTTCCATATTTTTATACATTTTTTTTTAATTAATTGTTTCGACTTTTACTTGATGAAACTCCATGTTAATAATATGTTAATATAAACTACACTGTTTAATTCTAACTTCAAAATCTTACATATAGAAAACAAAAGTATGAAACTAAATTTATTAGAGTCTATGGAAATTAACAAATTAAAGGAAAAAAACTGATATTATTCTCAATGACCAAATTCCCCGTTATTAAATTTATTTTAATATATTCAAATAGTTTAGTGTTATATAACTATAAACTAAAGATTACAGGGCATTCCCATAATTATTGTTCCTTTAATCTACCCCCAATATTGTACTAAAAATGTTACCTGTTAAAACCATCATTTATATAAATAGTAAATTAATATAAGTTAGTATTCGATCTGAAGAAGCTACTGTGTAGCGTGCTTTTTAATGTTTAGTTAAGATACACGATACGCTACGGGGTTCTATTATTGTGCTTGCGCTTTATTTGCTGTATGTGGTAATTATTTAGACAATGCCAAAACAAAAGCCAACCATTGAAGAGTGGATTAGTGGTCACAAGGAACTAAAAATTGACAATAAAAAGGTATTTTGTCAAGCATGTTCTAAAACTGTAAGTAAAATTATAGTATTTATTTATTGTTAAAAATTACTGATTTTATTTTATGGTTTTGAAGAGATTTCCTTTTTGACTTAAATTGAATTACTTTAAGGTATAAATGGAAATTTTAAGGATGAAATAAAATAAATTGAATAAAATACAACTTTTAATTTCTAAAATATTATTCGACTTTACATTCTACTTTCTCAACCCAATACTGTAATGGTTTCCTTTCAATAAAAAGCCGCCTAGATAGGGTTTTTTTATTTTAATCAATCTAGTATGGGATTATTTTTTTTAAATATAATCTTATACAGGATTGCAAAATTAACCGGGCAGAAAAAAATTACCTAATCAAATTTTAACCTCAATTTTTTCTTGAACCTCTTAATGAGACCATTTTTTATTAGAAATATAGCTTGATTTTTTAAGAACATATTTAACCCATTTCTAAATAATATATAGAATTTATTTATGTGGTCATAAAGTATGGAATAAATTTATTCAAAAAAAATGTTTAGTAAACACTGTTTACATTTTATTGGGATTTAAATTTAATATGAAATCATTTGATTGCTTTGTTTTATGGGAGGTTTAAAAATTCATATCTCGAGAACCGTTTAAGATAAACCCATCAAAGAATCTTTGATTTTAAGATAAAAAATGCAGGGTGTTCCATTAAAAAAAACTGCCACGCTCTTTTGGGACACCCTATATACCAAAATATCTATTTATACTGTTTGTAAAGTAAGTAGCAGAATATGATAGTAGAATTTTGTAATTTATTGCAGATCATCTGCAAGAAAAAGTACGATGTAACTCAACATTTACAAACAGAACGCCATAAGGAGCTCTTGAATAAGTTAAAAGAAAATAAAAATAGACAACAGACTATTTTGACTTCAATAGCTTCAACTTCTGGTTTAAATGAACAAAAACAATTTAATTTTGACTTGTGTAGTGCTATGGTTAAATCGGATATTCCATTAAATAAATTACAGAATAGCTCTTTTAGACAATTTCTACAGAAATATTGCACAAAAAACATTCCAGATGAAAGTACTCTTCGTAAAAATTATGTTTGTCCAGTTTATGACGAAACAATGCAGCAAATTAAAAAGAAGATAGCAAATAATTATATATGGTTTGCTGTAGATGAAACAACTGACACATGTGGATGATATATAGCCAACTTAATTATATGAGTCTTAAATGAAGATATCGTCACAGAAGGATTTTTAATAAGTTCCAAAGAATTAACAAAAACGAATAATAACACTGTTTCTAGATTTGTTCTTGAAGAATTAAACAAGTTTTTTTTGCCCGAGGTGGTTCCGAATGAAAAAATTCTATTGATGCTTTCGGATGCTGCAGCATACATGATAAAAGCTGCATCAAATTTCAAGGTTTTTTACTATAATTTAATACATTGTACCTGCTTAGCTCATGGGCTTAACCGCATAGCAGAAACTATAAGATTGCAGTATCCGTTGGTCAACACATTAATAAAAAATGGCAAAAAAATATTCATAAAAGCTCCATTGAGAGTACAATTTTTTAAAGACAGATTGCCTGATGTTCCATTACCTCCAGAACCAATTCTAACAAGATGGGGAACTTGGCTAGATGCTGCCATGTACTATGCCGATAATTTTACAGAATTTAAGAGATTGTTACTTGAATTTGAAGGCACAGAAAGCAAAGCAGTTCAAGAATGTCAGGAAGTTGTAAAAATACCTGAACTTGCACACAATTTAGCTTTTATTAAAAGTCATTTTAAATTTGTTAGTCAGAGTATTCAGCTATTGGAAAAACAACAGCTACCTTTATTGGAATCCGTCAATGTTATTAAAAGTTTTGAAGCTGCTGTAAATACTATTCCAGGATCTATTGGTCAAACAATTAAAGAAAAATTGGTCCAGACTCTCTCGAAAAATTCAGGGTTCCAAACATTGAAAAGAATATCTATTTTAATTGGTGGACAAGATTCCGATTTTGAAATGGATCCAGCCATTATCCCGAAATTTAAATATGCACCAATAACCAGTGTGGATGTGGAGCGAAGTTTTTCTGCATACAAAAACATTTTAACAGACAGAAGACATAATTTTACTATAGAAAATTTGGAGAAACATCTAGTTATACATTCCTTTAGGTCTTAATAATAGATATAATGTAAAAATAATAAAATGTATCATTTAAATAATAAACACCAATATTAAGATTATTACAACTTTTTTGCCTCTATATATTAATTATTTTTAATTAACTTGCTTATTTGGTGCTTTTTTGGCAAATTTCATGCTTTTTAAGAGCTTTTTATTTAATATTTTGATACTTTTTTAAGCACTTTTTTTTTTTTAAAATTGTGCTTATTTATCCGGTCTCTAGTTATAAGCAATTGTGTAGGTAATTAAATGTACTACAAAATTGCTATTTGCATTTTGGACCTATTATAGAGTAAAATATAATCGATAGAAACTTGAGTGATAAAAAAATAAATTAATAAGAAGAGTAGATATATTTTACAATAATTATATGTCTTTTAAAGTCATTTTAAATGGTATAATGATAAATTAAAATTTGATGAACTTTTATCAACCTTAATTTTAACTATAAAACTAACGAAAACTAACACAATCCAATCTTGACCTTAAAAAATCACGTATTTTGTCACAACATGGTTGCATGAACGATTTTTATATAAGAGTTTTTGGGGTCGCTTATTACGATCTTGTATTTAGTTTTTCAACAAAATAAAATGTCGAATACAGTATGGCCAAGTTCAAAAAGTCATTAGTTTAACAAAAAAATACACCTATTACAAATCTGTAGTAAAAATATGACAAAACAAAATATCCAAGATATTTAGTATTTAGCGGTTTTAGAGGTTCAGAGAATAAACACAGTTTAAATTTACTAAACCCAAAATATTTCCCCCATAAGCACCACTATCAAAAATAAAAATCTTGAAACGAAAATAATCACAAAAAATAGATTTGAAGGTTTAACAAAAAATCTTAACATCATAAAAGAAAACAATAAATCGATATTATTAACATCAACATTAAAAGTAGTACCGCAACCCAACACTGATAAAATAAACAAAAATTCATAAACTTTACAGTAATGCACACAAAAGTTTTGTGACAAAACACAACATAGGTAGGTAGTAAATAATATTAAAAATAAAAACGACTGTAAGAACTACCTTTAAAACCTGAAAGAAAGCGAGGTGAAATTCCACACATACGCCAGAACAACAAAAAACCCACGCATTTGTAATACGTGGGGTAAATGCTCCGATAGAAATGTGAAATAAAAGAAGCCTTCTTCAAAGCACATTTTCAAACTTAAGAATACTCTCAGACCCCCCTACTTTATAATCACCGACGCCGCAGTTAACCTGCAGTAGCTCAATACCAATGCAAGGTACCTTAAACACATCCTCGTTATTTGAGAAAGGCGCATAAACGATAAAGTTATCCAACAATGTCACCAATGAGGCCATGCTACGAGCAACTATTTTAATAATTTTAAATGCCTTAAATGCGCCCAACAACATCCGACACACCAGCCCGATGTGCTAACTGCGATGGCTATCATCCCGCCACAGCAAGGAATGCCCCGTTTATTTATTTAAGCTGCAGTAGCTCAATACCAATGCAAGGTACCTTAAACACATCCTCGTTATTTGAGAAAGGCGCATAAACGATAAAGTTATCCAACAATGTCACCGATGAGGCCATGCTACGAGCAACTATTTTAATAATTTTAAATGCCTTAAATGCGCCCAACAACATCCGACACACCAGCCCGATGTGCTAACTGCGATGGCTATCATCCCGCCACAGCAAGGAATGACCCGTTTATTTATATAAGCTAACACAAATCAATAAATAACGACCTAAAAAATTACCAAGCTCATCCTAGCCCCTTCATAAACTACCAACGCTTGGGAAAATCGCAAAACCAACACCAATAGCAAATATAGAAGTATAATGCCATAAGTAACAACTATACTAATTCTAAATGAGCAAAACTTGAAACCCTCAATATTATGGTCAACCTGGATTGATGTATTGTTCTGTAACAGTGTATTTTTTCAAGATTTCATGCATTTTTCGAAATCTAGCGCCAAACCAAAGAAACATCTATGTTTTTCAGAATTGGTAAGAAATATTACTATAAAAAAGAGTTCTGGTTACACAAGGAAATACTTAATAAAACTAGTGTTATAACGTTTAATTGTATAATCCATTTTAGCAGTGGGATTTTAATATTGTAAATAAAATTAAATTAGGCACTTCCCTGCTGTATATTTTTTTATGTTAATAACCGACCGGTTTCGCCTTACAGCATCTTCAGGGTTTCTACAGATATATGATAATATAGAGATTTAAAATATTACAATATTATACAAATATACGTTTATCAGACATTATAACAAGTATAACATGTTGTATTATGGACATTACAGATATAAATATAATACACATTAAAATTTTAGTTAATTAAAACTTCAATCAAATGTAAAATTAAGTAAAAGTTAAGGTTATGTTATTATTATTGTTTTAGGTTAGATGTTTGTATATTGGTGTGTAAAACAAATTAACCTGTTCATTGAGGCATTGTATCTTATTGTTTTTCATTTGTTTGTTAATTTCGTAGGCTTCTAGCAGTGTACGTTTGTGGTTTTATCTTGTATGTGCAGTATTTTTGTGTTTGTTATCTATGTTACAAGAAAGCACGTTAACTAAGGGTTAATATTTAATCTTGGCATGTCAAGAATGCTAAAAGCATACATTGATTTTTTATTAGTTTGTGTAAATTTAATGTATACGAATTGTTTTTTATTGTGGTGCTATGATGTACGGAATATACAAAGTCTTTTATTTAAACTTAAATAACTTATAAATAAAGCAAATATATTTCTAAATTTTGTGTTTAAAAATAAATTTTCCATATCGTCCTAGTAAAAGTTAAGGGAGTTAAGTCACAAAATCATATGTCTCTCCGAGAAAAACGCGCGCAAAGATTAGATAATTTGATATTTATGAAGATAATATTATTAGGACGACATTTTTTTGTCACAAGTTATGAATCACCCTGTAAAATAATGATTAAATAATATTTTTATTTTTCAAGTTATAACTTACTATATTGGCACTGAGGTCCTCTGAAGTCTTGTGAGCATTGGCATATATTTAAGGATAAACACTTTCCACCATTCAAGCAAGGAGGCTTACAGATAGCTATTATAAAAAGAAATATTTATAAAACCAGGGCATATTGATTTATTTATGTTTGAAAACCATATAAAAATACAATATTTTAAAAATAAATAACTCTACAAAATTCATGCATAAAATATATGTAATGTAAATTTGTTATTATCATTATTATTATTATTACTAACCTTGACAATCTGGAAGAGATACCCATTTTCCTCTAGACGGTATCCAGTTTCCATTTTTGCATTCCATTTGGGCTACAGTAGAACCATCGGAAAATTGATGACCATTTAAGCATGTTACAGTACATGATCTGATATAATACATAATTAATTATATATATTGAAGAGATTGGGATATTTTTTACTATTTTATTTATATTATATTGGTAACACTTCTTTATTTAAATTTTCCGCATTAATAATTTCCCCCCAAATTAGCCTGTTGTCTTTGAAGTTGATTGCAACGCTTTAGATCTATAAATTTCGTTATTATCCTCTGGATTAATGTTCGTTTTGTTAAACGAAAAGTTATCTGATGAAACAGGTAACTTACTTAATATATAGTTTTATATTCAATTTAATTAATTTGTGAAACAGTTTTTTAGATTTAATTACTTAAAATCTAGGAGTGTTACCAATATCTGTTCAAATGTGTTACAAGAATAAAGAGTGTTATGGAATAAAAGTCAATAGATTAAATTTTAAGTTTGCAGTCTACCAAATAACCTTATAAAATTGATAATGAGTGGAAAGGCTAATTTGTTGTTGGGATTTTTACCTGATTCTTAAAGTTTTTTAAAGAGGAGCTTATAGTTGATAAAATAGTTACAGACTAATGTCCTGTTTAACTTACTTTGCTTAAGACGTAGAAAATGAGGTCTGATTAGGTTTGCATTTCTGGTGTTGTACGAATAAATAATAAAAAAAAATATGCCTATTTACTTTTATGCGTGCTTAAACCAAACCATTATAGATGAAAATAGAGGGTAAAGTAATAATATAAAGCTCTTGGAATAGAGAACCACAGTAAGTTTCAGGGGGTACCCTCTAGGGCTCTTGTCTGCAGTCTAATAAGGTTACTAGATTTACCCCAGAGCGAAACCCCATAGCTGATTTAAGAACGATAAATGGCATAATAGACAGATACCAGATACCGATACAGATACAGAAACTCTTTTAGTACATATAATGTTTTTAAATAAGGAATTCAATGATTTATTGATGTAAATTCGTAACACTTTACCGTTTTTTCCATTGTTTGGTATTTTTTTAGTGGACCTAACAAATTTTTGAGTTGTTTTTCTGTTAAGGACTAATTTATTTATATTAAACCAGAATTCTGCCTGATTTTCTATATCTGACATGAAATCCTTAAACCATAAGCTGTTGTCTACAAAAAATACACTATTCCAAGGGTGAAGAAAAAACCCAGATAGTTTATACAAATGCATAAGACGAGAGGGCTCAAGACAGAGCCGGGTTTCAGATGTGATCCACAACACAAGGCTACTCTGGCTACAGTCTGTGTCGGTGCCAGGTGGGGAGCACATCTGACAAAGCACAGTGACGAGGTATCTATAAGATTTAACAATTGTTATTTCCAAAAAATTCACCTAGACTATTTCCATTTTTAGTAATTTTTTTAAAATATTGATATTATTGTTACCATTTTATAGTCCCTCTTCTTAAAAACAGGTATGACTTGACAATTTTAATATATCTGAAAAAACACTTTGAAAAAATTGCTTGCTTTAAAATATCTGCAGTAGACTTAATGATCTCTGAATTTAGATCAAAATTATCAACACATTTTCAGTTTTAGACTAAAATAATGTCCTTTTATGTTTCATCAGATGACTATAGGTAGGTATGAGATTGGACATTAAGAAGGGCTTTGTAAAGGTCGGAACAAACTAATGCTGGCACTTAATACCCCACATCTTAACCTATTGGCAACATATGTATGTTACATTCCAAGTAACAATAAATAACACATCCCAAATACACACTAAAAAAAGCGTGAGTCCCACAAATTACTGTACCTAGCCCCCGAGTTATATTCACAATAAACCTTAGGCATTCCAACTTTCTCAAACATTTTTTTTTTTTGAGTTAAAACAAAATTAAGACTATATGCAGACGATACTACAATTTATGCCCACTCGTATTACAACTGGCGGTATTAGTGGCGGCTGCACAATCCATATCCATCTAAGAATTATCACCAGGTATTTTGATAAGTGGCTAATTAAAAACAACAATAAATTGAAACTGATACATTTTAAAAATAAAATCACGCCAATCAGACTTAACAACGTAACTTCAAGAAAAGCCACTTGTAAAATACCAGGGGCGTAACTAGGCGTGTGGGGGCCCCGGGGCAGTGACGTGAATTGGGGCCCATGGATAAAATTGAAAAAAAAACTGTTTAAAATAACATAAAAACATGTTTTTTTTTTAAATTGTGTTAAACACTTTATAAAAAACATGATTTAAACCTTTAAAACCTGTTTAAAAAAAAACAAAATAATGAGTAAAATTGTGTGCAGGTATTTTTTGAAACTTCCTGGGTTGACATCATCTAAAATTGTTTTCAGGCGCGCGAAACGCACGAATTACAAAACTGTTTTTATAAAAAAAATTGTAGATAATTTATTATAAAATATTTTGGCATCAAAATTGTCAAAAAATTTTCTTCTTTTATTAGGTTATACATTAAATAAAAAAAACGCAAGAAATATTTTATAAAAGTAGAGATAATTTTAATAATTGAAAGGTATGGACGGGACAAAAAAAAGATTTGTCTTGTCCACACCTGTCAATTATTAAAATTATGTTGTTTATAAAATAAGAGGCACTTCTCTGCTGGTTTGATTTATTTTAAAAACAGACTAGTTTCGCTTTTGAGGCATCATCAAGAAATTACATTAGATTTTTTAACTGCTATAATGGTTTTAACAATTAAACAATTATTCAAGTTATCTCTACTTTTATAAAAAATTTCTTGCGTTTTTTTTTTATTTTAATGTATAGCCTAATAAAAGAAGAATATTTTTGACAATTTTGATGCCAAAATATTATATAATAAATCACCTACAATTTTTTTTATAAAAACAGTTTTATGATTTGTCCGGTCTACATGCCTGAAATGGCCCTTAATTACTGATGCCTAATACCTATAGAATACTTTTTTATTTGACAAATCAGGATTACGAATAATATAATGGGGGCCTGTGGCGGTGCCCCGGCTGCCCCAGCCTAGTTACGCCACTGGATTACAATATAAAACAGAATCACATAAATAACTAAAAAATAAAAATAAAAAAAATCTTCACCGCCCCTAATAAACAAACACAGTCAGCTAATCATATACAAAAACGATATCATATAAAATGCTGCCAATATTTACCTATGGACATCCTGCATGGTACTCAATGTCTTATACGAGCTATGTCACATTACAACGACTTCAGAACTGGTACCAACGCATTGAAGGCATGCACGAACTTACGTGGATAAATTACAGAAATGAGCGAAAAATAAATTAAAAATAAATCTACCAATTTAAACGGCCTTATTTGTTGTCTAAGGTGTATAATACCTTTTTTTTGTAAGGAAGGGGAAATCTTTCCCAGAGGATTCTTACCGACCTCAAGCACTTTGCACCGGTATCCGCTCTCGCATTACTTCGGTGCAAAGGCTGTGTATCTTCAAACTTACAATTTTAAAAGGGTTAATTATACTGAACTAATAACTAATGCATTACTTAATGTTGATTGGGAGCCACTGTATAAAACTAATGGGTTCCTACTTATAAAAATAATGTCAAGCGTAAATATCCTCTTTTGTTTGAACCCCAGATTATTCAGAATATTAAGACCAAGGAATTTTATCACAAAAAGTATAAAAAAACTGGAAATTCGTGTTTTAATAATGAATTCAAAAGAATGCAAATTCCTATTAATAGAGATACCTCAATTTTATTTTCATAATTTCTTAACCTAGCGGCTTCCAGATTGAAATCTGATCCAAGCTTTGAAAATCAGTTACGTTGAATCAGTTAAGGATTTTAGTTTAACTGTAGATAATTTGGGTATCAATAAACCTCTTGTTCATATTAATAAATTCTCTTTAATTGATGTTGAGAGGTCCATAAAGAAACTAAACAATAATAACACTTGTGATTAAATTCCCAGTTTTATTATCAAGGATGGCCTGCCAATTTTGAGTAGACCGGTTTTGTACATCTGTAATAACATTCTTTCTACTGATGAATTTTCTGATATTTGAAAAAAAACCAAGGGTAGTTCCTGTACATAAATCTGGTAATACAGCTGATATAAAGAAGTATCGTCCCATAGCCATTCTGAGAAACTTTTCGAAGGTATTTGAGATTTTGGTCTACAGTCATATATATATATATAACAGCGTTAAAAACTATATGTCTTGATGAGGATAAGATCATTTGGATTCAGCGATCAACTTTTGAATTTATCTATATATATTTATCTTGATAATCGTCAATTATTTGTGACCTACAATGGTTTTGGTTCCGATAGTTTTAGTCCAGGCTCTGGAGTACCTACCTCAGGGTTCTAACCTGGGTCATATTTTATTTGTCATTTTTATGAATGACATTTACAATTTTTTAATGTGTCAACATCTGATTTTTGCTGATGACTTGAAATTGTTTGTTTATGTTTCTGATGCATCAGGCTGTATATACAAAATCAGCTAAACTTAGGAAATGAATAGTGCATCCTTAATACTTTTCCTAAATATCGGTAAATGTAAGGTGTGTACCTATACTTTAAAAAAATATCCAATTATTTTTGAGATTTCATATGATTTTTAATGATTCCATAGTTTTGTATTATTTATTGGATCGTACCAAGCTAGAGTACTGCTCTTTTGTTTGGTATTTATTTTATAATACCTACAATGATCAATTAGAAAGAGTGCAAAGGCGATTTTTGAAAATGTTAGCTTTTAGGCTTGACAATATTTATCCTGCTAGAGGTACTGAGCATGTTTTATTGTTGAATAGATTTAATGTTAGGTCATTAGAAGAATTTTAGTCTTAAATTTCTATACAGGCTATTCAGGAATGAAATAAACAGTACCTTTTTGATATCACTCTTTAACTTTTACGTACCACGAGTTGATGATAGATCTATTTTAACTTTCTATAACAGATATGCCAGAACCAATTGTAACCGTCATTTTGACAGTTACCCATTGATTTTATTTTATTAGTTTTCGTACATCTAGAAGGGTATATATGTGAACTGTTAAGTGGTTTATTTTTAAT